GTTTAGCTTTCTACCTGTTGTTTGGTGTTTGTGGTGTGTTTTGTGTTTGAGTTGTTGGGTTGATGTCTATTCTCCGTTTTGGGAGCATGGTTTCTCCTTTTTAGGACTTTGTATTTCCCACATGTTTGAGCTTTTTAGTTCGTTGTTATGTGGGTGTGTTACTGTAGTTGCTTCTAGGCTACCTCTGTGTAGGCCGCCTAGATTCAGTTGCTTAGTTGTTATCTAGTTGTAATTATATGTTTTATAGTTTATAGATATTTTCTATCATTTAAAAAAAAAATTCTGATTTTGGATTTTGCAATTGAAATCATACCAATTTTTTCCTTCAGCTTCTTCCCGTCCTCTCCTTACTACCAATAATAATGCTTCTTCAAAGTCAGTTGCAAAATCCGCACATGAAGCCCATATGTGCATCCCTTCACTTTCTTTTTCTGCAATGCCTCTCGCACCAGTTATCCCTCCAGTAGAAGTAAATGCACTAACAGTTAAGCTCTTTTGTCCTACCTTATTAGAATAATCTTCTACTCGACTTGAGATTGAGCTATGGGGAGATTCCATAGCTGGCTCAGGATCTTCACTCAACAAGATAAAGTCATGCAATTCCTCTCCAGCCCCCTCTACAACCTCCATTTCCATCAACTTATGTTTGTTAAACACTCAGTAGATTCTGGTTTTCCAGATTCTCCACAAAACATAAGCTGACAGAATAAGTCTATCCCTTCTGCAATTGTCAACATTGATCTTGTATATCACAAACCACCAATTCTGAAGTGTTGTCTTCATATCCTTTAGCAGCTTCCAGTCTAGTCTACTCAGTTTTCAACATATTACTGCTCTTGGACAGTGAAACAACATGTGATACCACATTAGGTAGTACAAACCTAATAAATCGGTTGACCAGGCCAGCCATACCGGATGGTCGAACAGGAACACGAGTAGGACAAACGCAGGTCAAACATTGGCACATCAAGGAGTCTTCAGGTCGAAGAAGGTGTTGGAGGTTTTAAGAGACACCGACAGGTCGAGTTAGGGCCTTCGGATGTCCTGGGGAAAACTCGACCTGAAGGTGTGACCGGTCATGTGATTGGAAAGGGGGACAGAACACATGGACTCGACGTACTCGGCATTCTACCTCGACGTGATTTGAGCTAGTCACACGGTAAAGCAGTCTAATAAAGCAAATAATAGATAAGAAAGAATATTAATATGATAAGAACCACACGTGGGTAGTGTAACAGAATTGAGAAGTTCGGGTAGTACGAATGGGATATTCGATCAGTCCAGGCAGCTCACTCGGGCAATCTTGGGTAAAAAAGTAACACTTCCTATAAAAGGGAGTGAAGTATGCACTCTAAAACATTTCATAGAAAGTATGCACTCTAAAACATTACATAGAAAGTATGCACTATAAAACATTACATACTTACATACAACACTTTATCTTCTACACTGGGCTAACTAAAGCTTCAAAGGCTCTTCACTGGAAAAACCCTCCGGTGTGGAGTGTTTGCAGGTCTCGAAGGACAATCTACTACCGAGAAACCCAGATCAGTCTGAAACCAAGCCAGTCGAAGGTCTTTTTGTACCATTTGGCATTGTGTTTAGGACTCAAACCCACGACCAGGCTAACAGTTAGGTCGAAGTCACAAATCGGATCATACTGAACAGATTGAAGACCAGATTAGAGAAGGCCTCAGGGGCATGGGTCGACGAGTTGAAGTTTTTTCTTTGGACATATAGGACAACTCCGAGGTCGACCACATGAGAAACTCCGTTCAATTTGGCATACGGCATGGAAGCATTGTTATTTGTGGAAATCGAGATGGAATCTCATAGGTCGAGCACGTACAATAAAAAGAAGAATGGAGAGCTGGCTCGAGCAGCCTTGGATACCATCGAGGAGCTTAGAGAGCAGTTATCGACCAGAGTGGCAACTTACAAACAGATTTTAAGTCCAAATTTTTTAATTAACACATTTAACTATATTTAACTATATGTAGTTAGCACAAAAAGATCAGCCTAGGCAATTGCCTAGGCTGGCCAGTGTATGAATCCGCCATTGCATATTCGTGTTATGTACGTGAATTATTCTACTTATGATCCATATTCCTTCGGTTTTTCATTGTTAAATTTGGCTTAATGTTAGTTATACGCAATGTTCTAAAATCGGGCTAAGTGGCATCCATGAACTGCAATTTATGTCTAGACAGCCTTTCTAGGTGCTCAACTGACTAGGCATCGTCTAGGTAGATTACGCGATAGGTGGCATCCTAAGCGCTAGGCCTTAGTCCACCGCCCAATGAGCGCCTAGCGACTTTGGTACCTTACTTATTGTTGTATCTAGAACCAGAACAATGTCGCTTTGGGATCAAATTTATTTATTAATTTATCTAGCCAGAACAATGTCGCGTGACGGCACAACAAAAGAATGAGGACTGGTGCATTAGAGTAACGCGACGACACAGTATTATTATATTATATGGCGCATGACGGCACAACCATAGCAGGATCCAGTGTCATGATGTCAGTTTGAGACATGAGTACTACGATGATGATACCTGCCATTAGAGGGTTAATTTTTTAGTTTATCTCACTGAACTAGTGGTTTGCTCACCCTCCTTATTTTCTCTGATCGTGATCGAGTTGGTGAAGGGCCTGGGATGGTGGAGTGGTCGTGTTCGAACATCTTTATGTTTTTATAACTTTTGAGACTTATGTATTAAACTTAATTACTTCGCATGATGTTTTGATTTTTTTTGACTTGAGACTATGAGATGCTTTATCCATTTATTTACTTTGATTAGGAGTTAAGATACGAGAATGATGAGTTTGAGTTTTGGGAGAATTGAGATCCCATAGTTAAATGAGCACGTTATATGAGTTATGTTTCAAAGTTTAGAAGTTTCACAGGTTTAAAAGGAGAGGATTCGCTGATGTGCCTTAGACTACAAGTTGTTTTCGAAAAAGTATTTTGAAGTATGAAAAACTTAAATTTTCAAACTCCGTTAACGCCATTTAAAAATGTCCAAATTACCTTTTAAAAAACGGGACGTTACACACACCCTGGAACTCAATAAGAGAAACACCTTCAACATGGTGTATGGCATGAGGGTTGTTATACCGATCGAGATCGACCTCAGATCTTAGCGGGAGTCCACGCATGAGAAAGGAGAAAACATCGAGCTGCAGAAAGAGGCATTGGATCTAGTGGATGAGCTCCACGATCAGACCAACATCCGGATAGAGGCGTATAAGCACCGGATGAGGTCTATTCAAGACAAGAAGGTCCGAGACCGCAGATTCCAGGTTGGAGACCTGGTGTGGCAACAAGCGGATGCGCTAAAGCACGTCGACAAACTCGAACCTAACTGGGAAAGGTCGTACATTGTCAAGCGGGGATTTGCGGGAGACGCTTACGAGCTGAGAGATCCACAGAGGAAGCTATGGCCCAGGCCTTGGGATGTGGCACATCTGAAGAAGAAGAATGCTTAAGTTTGACTAGCTCCCTTTTACCTATTCAGTTTATTTATAAGTTTGTTCACACAATTCAACTCATTTATCAATAAAGTAATTTATTTTTACTAAGTATAGAACAAGTTTAATTTTCAGTATTAGGGGCAAAATCTCGAGTAGGTGAGCTCAGGAGCCCAATGTAAAATGATAAAACCTTGAGTGGTTAGCTAGAGGGCCAAGTATCTCGTGTTCGAGCAGAACCCGGAGCAGAAGACCTCAGGGGCCTAAGGACAAAGAACAAATTCTGAAGTGGTTAGCTTGAGAGACAAATTATTCCAAGGTCAAGGAGCAGAACCACGAGCAGATAAACTCGGTGTCCAGAGACATCTGGTGGAACATCAAGTAGTTAGCACGATGCCAAATGTTAATCTAAAGTTAACTGGTAGAACCTACAGCAATTAGCTCGAGAGCCAAGCTTGAATTAAAGAAAGAAGAAACTTAAGTAGGTAGCTCGCGGACCTTAACTTTCAAAAGATGATTTTTTCTAAAAAAAAAATAAGTGGAATATTTCATCAAGTAACCAAAAGCCAGAGCAAGTAGCTCGGGCACCCAGGTAATTAAGTTGTGAAATCTTCTTTTAGTGGCAAAAGCCCATTGCGAAATCTTCTTTTAGTGGCAAAAACCTAAAGTAAGTAGCTCAGGTGCCCAAAAGATTAGCTTTCTTTTAAGCTGCATAAGATTGAGTAAAGAATAAAAGAAGCAATGACAAAAAAAGGCCAGAACATGAAACAGAATTGAACTCAAGCTGACCGGATAATTATAATTAGTTCAATGCATGAACCACTAAACACGCAGTATTAGTAAATATGACAAAATAATACCATCATGAGATAATATGATAACGAGCAGTTCAAATCAAGGTCCCATAAACAATACAAGTCAGACATGTTCCATATGACAGCTGCACGGCTACCTTCCAACTTCTCGACTTTCAGCCAGTAAACCTATCAAGTTCCTAATCTTTGCTCAAAATGAAAAGGAAGATCCATTGCTTATTTTATATTTTAAACATAACAAATCCATAGAAAAAATCACTGCAAAGCACACCAATTGTCTGAGAAACACATCTTTCAGCAAACACTGTGCAACTCCCACGATCCATTTTCAAGTGCCTGACATGTAAAACAAGTATTGTTATGTCAAAAGATAAGCATGACAAGTGACAGAATTATGCTGCTGCATAGTAGCCGCTGTGACAGAATTGCAAGTCGAACAAGCAACTTCTACAGTTCTGCCGAGATTTGATTTTAAAAGGGCTGCGACATCCTAATTTCTCAACAAAGTTTCACATCGGAAGGAACAAAGAGGGTAAAAAACACTATATGCAGGTGTACCAAACTTGTTCTTAGTTGTTCCAAATGGGAGCAACAAATAAAAACAAAAACAAGAAATTCAATAATTTACTCATAGTCTCATAATGCATCACATGGAAATGTAAACATTTCTAGCATATCCATTCTAATACCGTAGGTCACAAACTTAAACCCCACAAAATAGTTTGCCAGATGATTCTAAGCATGAATTAAGAACTCATTTATCAAATTCAACGAGTTCCAAGCATTGAAATTGTCTCCGTGCCAAAACCAACTCTTGAATGGATCAAATTTGTCATCTAAATTCTATCAGTTAAAATAACATCATCGAACCACAAAATAAAAGGGAGAAAACATATCAATCTACAATCCATTGTCAACCTGTAATAGTTTTCAAGATGATCCTAAGCATAAATTAACAACTCATTTATCAAATTCAACTCATTCCTAGCATTGAAATTGTTTCAATTCCAAAACCAACTCCCGAAAGAATCAAAATTGCCATCTGAATTCTAACAGTTAATAAACATCATCGAACCACAAAATAAAAGGGAGAAAAATCAACCTACAAACCATTATCCTGCTCTTGATTTGATGGAAATCACTGCTCACATCACCCATCTTTTCCATTCCTCCCTATAAATTCCAATAATTACAAATCTTATTATTACCCAAACTTCACAGAGCCAAAAGAAAAATAGTGAATTAAATCCATCTTTCAACTCATTACAAGTTCCATATGTTTTGTTAATCAAAATAGAATAAATACTTTAAAAAATATGGTCCTCAAATTGCTTTCAAGCATTTAACACCGAAGTTATTTTCTGAATTACAGTCTTAGACTCACAAAGAAACAACTAGCGATCCTGACAAGAACGTTGAAAGGTACCGTGCGACAACTCAGAGCAAGCTAGCACTTTGACAGACAAATGAGAAGTCAGCCGTACTCCGGTAGCCAGTGGCATTAGCGACTGGGCACATCCCAGTTCCCCAATTCTTCTGTTTTATCAGAAACAAAAATAGGCCAGGTAAGATTTTACTTATTTATTCTAAATGATCAAATTTCAACAAATCTATAAACCAGATGAGACACCATAAGAACACAAAGAGTAAAATGCAGCATCTGTAATCAACAATCATTCACATTTACTGCTTAATAATAATTAACATTTCAAAGTGTAGCAACATTTCCTTCATGCAAAAATAACCAGAAAAATACACCGAGTATGAATTGAAAAAAAAAAAAAAATCCAACTATATTACAGAGATAATGAGGGAAATTCGGAGTAAAACAAAGCATTTTCCGGATATTCACCGAAACTCATTAAACATCCAGCAACGTATAGCATATCAATGGCACTTATACTTTCTACAGAAAATAGTTATGCAAAATACCAAAAGAGATGGTAAAATTCCAAGTAAAAGATTTGAAATTGTAGTGCCTGGGGTTTGAGAAAGAGCGACTGCGGACTTGGATGCGAGGGGCAGAAAGCGGCGGAGGACGGAGGCTCCGGGAGGCCGAGAGCGAGGGAGATGAGTTGAAGACCCTCGCGGTGGACATGAGAGATCTGGAAAGCGAACCTCGCCAGGCCATTGATGAGAAAATCGGAGGGTTTTCTTGAGATATGTCGACGACTAAAGTTAGAAGGATCAGCCGTCTCACAAACGTATGGATATATGCATGTTACATTTCTACCCTTTCTAAATCTAACAAATCAACACAAAAAGTTATAATTAAAAAATGTAAAAATAAAAATAAAATTTATTATTTTAAATCTATATATATCTATATATATATAATAAGAATTACTATTTATCAAAAATAGTAAGTCAATCCTTGGTCAAACTGGTCAACATTAATTACATGTCATTTATAGTATCTTTTTAAAATCTTTTTTAATAAAAAACGGACAGCATTAAATGTTATTATCCTTAAAATGAGGAGTTGTTACTTTTTTATTTTTAAAAAAGCGGGCTGCTATTTAAATTTGGTCTATTGAATATTTGCTATGATTTGACACGATGTGCATATCAAAAGCTGATAATGCACGGGCTGCATCAATTAAATTTGGTTATTGGTTACGAGAAGCTATTTTTAAATTTGAATAAAAATGTACATCACGACTGTTAATTCAATTAAATATCGGCCAATTATATTCTTCAAATTTAAAACCAGATATTCGGCTAATACAACTGCTTTGCTTGGCAGTTTTTTTTTTAATAAAAAAATTATTACTGATTTAATAACAAAAAAATATATGTGTTATTTTTTCTAACCATAAAACTATACTTTTTATTTTCAAAATACCGAAAACTTTTTTTTTCTATAAAATCGGCTAATACATATGTTTTGATTAACAGATTTTATTTAAAAAAAATTACGGCTAATTTAAGTGTAAAAATATAAAATAAAAAATAAAAAATTCATTTGTTTATTTCTTTTGAAAATATTTTTTCTAACCATCAAATCGGGTTGTTTCAATTAAAAGAATAAAGTTACGGCTGATTCAATTGTTTTGTTTGACAATTATTTATAATGAAAAATAATACACTGGTCTAATTTTGAAACGATCAAATTTTTACGATCTTTGTTTATATCAGAGATTAGAAATAAGAATAACCTTCATATTTAAATTGTTTTAATTGTAAAACGTGATGTACACAAGATTTTGATAGATTTATCACATATCTCTCCTAGATTAATGATTTTATTTTTTTCTAAATTTCAAAATACCAAATCCTAAAGTTGCGGTTGATTTAATTATTAAACGATATTTTGCAATCATAGATTCGGGTTATTTTCAAATTCAAAAATTAAATTGCCGATATGTAGATAAATTTGGACATATTAAATACATATGATCCCTAAAATTTCTCTTGGGTTTCATCTCTAGCCTACCCCGACTTGCTTGGAACTAAAGGCTATGTTGTTGTTGTTGTTGATGATCCCTAAAATGAAGGATTTTATTCCATTAAAAAACATAAAATATGAACTTAAATGTAAATTTTATTATGCACGTGTGATAATATAATTTTACATGCTATGAAAGTCATATTGTTTACCCGTGCATCGCACGGGCTACGCACTAGTATATATAAAAAGATTTACTATTTACCATAAATAGTAAGAAGAAAAAGTCAACACATATTAATTACATACTATTTTCAGCTATTTTTTATTTTATGTTTTAATTCACTTCCCAAAAAATCGATTGGCCTTAAATCGGTTATTTTTTAGCTATTTTTTATTTCATGTTTTAATTCACTTCCCAAAAAATTGGTTATTGTGTATCTAATTTACAGGAACGCATAATATATGAGTTTTTAGATCAAAACATAATCTACTTTAGATTATATATCATATCTTACTTTATATAACTAAATATTAAAAATGAGTCATATTATAAAATCAGGCAAAAACCTTATGTCTTCTCCTTTTTTATTCAAAAAAACTAATTGCAAAAGAAATCGAATGCAATATTTAATTGATAATTTAAAATTCTAAATTCCTTGCCACTTAAAATCGAATAATAAATAATCGCATATAATAGATGTAAAATGTGGCTCATCTACAATTTGAATTGGAAAAAATCAAATCACATATATTTATATAATTGAACAACCTAAAATTAAGGAATTTTTTTTCAAATTCCGACAGATCTTGAATTCAATATCAAATCAACTTCATAATTTCACATAGTTCGGACTCTTTTGAAGTATTCCAAAAATTCAGATATCTCCGAATTTTGATTTCAAATTTCAAATAACTGTTTACTATTATCTTGGAAATAGATAGAATATCCTTTTTTATAAGGAGTCTTTCTAAAGAAGAATTTGATTTACTTTATTCTCTTTGTCATAATTGATGAATTTTTCATGCTATTTCTTTTTAATAGATACAAGATGAATTTGTTCACCTCGGACTCTATTGCAAATGACACTATTGTTCTTTGGGACAAAGAATCTGAGATCATAATTGGAAAATCATGTCATCCTTTTATGACAACATGTTTAATAATTTATAGATACTTATATATCATTTTATTAATATTTATGTAAATAAAATAATATTTTATTATAATTTTATTAATATACAGTAAATATAAGATTTTTAGAATCGGGCCCTCATCAAAACAATCAAAGTTTTTTTATTATATCATTTGTGGTTTGATTAGATTTTAATTTATAAACATTTTAAAATTTTATAATTACTTAAATATCTAAACAATTTATAAATTCAAATGTTTAAACTAATTGATAAAAAAGTTTATAAATCTCTATTTTATTTCAATATGTAATTTTATTTAAAATAATTTTAAATGTAGCAAAATCTATTTAGAAAATCGTATCGATCCTACCAGTCCAACCGATCGGTGTTGAAGGATTCGATAGCAAATATTTTATTCAATCGACTAGACTGGTTATAGACCGGTTCCCGGTCCATCCAGTCGGACTGTGTCCAACCCGATTTAATTTAAAAATAATAGATAAATCACGATTAATGTTTCTTATATATTTAATTTATAATACAATCGTAATGTTGTTGGTCCGTGCATCGCACGGGCCATGCACTAATTTACACAATACGCAGGAAATATCTCAAAGTATTGGTGACCTACATATTCACTAATAATGATCAGCAATAAAAATTAGGCCTAATTGCTTATAAAATCACGACCTTTGGCCTTTTTACAATTTAAACCAAACTTTAGGGTAATTGCAAACATATCGCGACTTTTTTTAAAAAAATGCAACCCGAACCCAATTCTGCTCGACGGCTAGTTTGATGGTTACGTGTTCGGGAAAAGGATTACACACATCATTTTGCTTTGCTGATTAGGACGTTAGGCAGAGAAAAGTCAAAAATCAAATAAATATGAAACTCCTCACATTTCTTTTCTGTAAAATTAGGGCAAGAAAAATTAGGATATTTACTCAAAAGGATCGAGAGCAAGAAAAATGATGGATGTGGGAAACAATGGACTTGTCGCTGCCGACCGCAGGTGCCCCATCGGGGAGGAGAGAACCAGAGAGAGAACAATTGGCGGAAAGAGGCGAAAGTGGCTGATTTTGGCAAAGATTTACGCCGCCCTCCCCGAACTGAAAGAAGAAGCAATAACCTCTGGTAGTGGCCTTATAAATGAAGCTATATGACTTGCTGTCAAAGCCCCACCTCCTTTCCGGAAAGAATTTCATCTTGAAGAGCAGATATCGTCAATTCTGAATTGCATCTTTCCAAAATGTTTGCAACTGCGATTATAACAAGGTCTCAAAGTCCTCTGTGCGGAGGCTGGATGGACATTCGAGCCTGAGGCACGACTTATCGAAAGTGAATTCTACGAATTTGGGAATTTTTTTGTTCAAGCAATTTTTAATTATTTTTAATTTGGGATTTGCTTTTTGTTAGCAATGGGGATCTTTGAAGCACGATTAGGTTTATTTGATTGATTTATTTATTTTTTTCATTTTATTTTGTATGGATCTTTGTGTTTAGTGGAAGAATTTCTCAAATTAGGAATTTGTGATATCTGTTTTCAAAAAAGAAAATTTTTTCCTTCTTCTTCTTTTGAATTTTGTATTCCACGTAATATCTTGATGTCCTAATCAGCGTAACGAAATGACGCGTGTAATCCTTTGCCCGGACACGTAGGCATCAAACTTGTCGGCAAGCAGAATTGGGTTCGGGTTGCAATTTTTTAAAAAACTAGTCATATGTTTGCAATTACCCTAAAGTTTGGTTTAAATTGCAAAAAGGTTAAAGGTCGTGATTTTATAAGCTATTAGGCCTAAAAATTACAAGCATTTACCAAATATGATACCAAAATTCAATATTTTTGCACTTTGTAGGCTTTTATCATCATCCAACAAAAGTCTGAAATTTAGGGTTTTGAAGTGACACATGTCCAACAATAGAAACAAAACTGCGTTCTAAAGCCTGTGTAAATCACTGTGATTGAAATGTTCCACAAAAACAATCCATACTAAAAAGCAAGTGTGCCACATAAAAACAACAGAACAACATCAAGATTAATTACAAGTTATTGAATATCACCATCCATACTACAAAGCAATTGCATAGGTTAAAAAAATAAAAATAAAAAGTGCAAGGACTAAGGTCAGGAACACATGTACAACATATCAACAAGTGAATTGAAAATGGGTGTTGTGATCTAGCATCGCATGGGTTGCTTCTTCATCCAACAGGAGCAAGATATTGGTGAATGGCTTTCCTCGATGTCGAATGAATTAACATGATTATATGTAGTGAATCCTTGTAATCAAATCTATTTACAACATTACAAAACAACATTAAATCACAACTGATTCAATTATCATGTCATTGCTCCATGGATTGCTCTACTGGAAATTAGCAACAACGTCACACAATCATCATCCCGAGTGAGACATTTCATCAAACATGTAATGTGCTAGTTAGGGATACACCAAAAACAACATTCAATACTCAATTAACAAATCCACCTTTTAATATGAAATGAAAATCACAAAATCACCACAAAGGTTTGCAATCCTTTTATCATAACACGAATACAAGTGCAACAACCTGGAATTCAATCACACAATAACCACAACAGTACATAATCAAGACACAAATTTACAATCATACTTCACAAAACACATTCAATATACTATACCTGGATGAATCGTGCTTGCTATGGATAACTCCAAATATTGATCGGTAAAGAACAAAACATATTCGGGATCCAAAGGTTGTTATAAAATGTTTTTCTTTCAGAATACTGGGGATTGATTCCGGTCACCATTCAATTCTTAAAATGTTACTTGAACTGAGTCTCCATGAGAATAGCGTAATTAGGGTTGTTAACTCCTGGCGAAGTTTAAGTTTCCGGCGAGGGGACGATTAAAGGCGGTCAGAACACATGGGTACGGGTAAAAATGAAGACACTTAAGACGTTGGATTGGATGGTAGTGTATACTTACTATGTCAAAGAGGTGAGGGATAAAGACTGCTCATCGGTGGAGCCATCGGGCGGCGCGACAGCGCTGAGGCTGAGAGCGTGAAACAAAGAATAATAAGATGAACGAACCATTTAATTTTAATTGATAAAATGAATCGTAATAATACATATCTTAAAAGTTTTCATATTATTTTTTTTATATTTGTAGGACTCATATGTAAATAAGATGAATATATGAGTTTGAAAGTATATAAAAATATCAATTTTTAATTTATTTTTAATTTTAAAGTATACGTACGAGGTCATATACGATGCGCTCAACTTTTTTTTATTGTCCCCTACATTAAATCAATAGTTGATATTTTTTTTTCAATCAATTTTATTGATAAAATAGAGGACTACCTGATGTTAATTGTTAGATATGTACAAGGCTAACTGACTGTAATCGGTCACCGTTTGTGAAAAAGTATTGTTAAAGTTGCGAGAAAATCGGTCAACCGGTTATTGCCTTGGAAGTTGGAGAGAAGAACGAGGACCCAACGAGCTGTGTGCGCGCGCCTTGGAGAACTACAACACGCAGGGCCTTGGACAAAAACAAAAGATGTCTGCTCATCAAATCTAATTTCTATGTACTCCTTCTTTTCTTTATATATTATGAAAAAAGCTCTTGTCTTGCTTTTGATATATCTCACGCTTTTCCTACCGCTCTTTCCAGTTTTCCCCACGTGTCTTGTCAATTTTATTTTTCCTTTTTACCTCCTTTTTTCCTCTCAATTTTCTAATTTCTGTATGTGATATTTTGTTTTAGAGTTATGATTATAATGATGTAATTAACTAATTATATTAATCATTTGAGAATGTTTCGATATAATTTATATTTTGTATAATAAAAAAATAAAACATGTCAATTTTCACGGTCTTTGAGTTTGATATTTAATTTATTATACCGTTGAAAACTAGACTTCTTTTTGTTACTTTTATTCGTTTTGAAATTACAGTGAAATGATAAATATATTTATCTTATTAATTACAAAATTTTATAAGAAAAGGAAAAAAATAAAAACAAAAGGAAAAAGATGGAAAATAAAATAAAAATAAATTGGGCTCTTAGGTGAGTGGTGAGTCATGGCATGCATGCATGACGAATGGGCCATATTCACTGGATCCGGCCCACAGCTGCTGCCACGCCCACTTCATCTTTAACCGGGTCGGATTCGGGTTATTCGGGTCTCTGTCTCTTTCTCTCTCCCCACAAGACTTTGGATAAATAAAGCACGCTTTTCTCGGTTGTCTTTGAAACTCAATTTGACTCACGACAATACCAAAGTCCCTCTCTCTCTCTCTCTCTCTCTTTCTCTCTCATCCCCTGTCTCTCTCTTGTCCCTTCAATTAATCTTGAAAAATGCATCACAATACCCAGAGCCTTTAACAGAGCTAGAGAGAGAAAGCGAGAATAGGATAATTGTAAGCATTAGGATTAATTTATTACTAGCTTAGCTACTATATTATTAGGCTTTGGCCCTATCTTTTCTTTTCCTCCGTCATTTGTAAAGTCGTCCAAGAAAAAAAAATAAAAAAAAAAATAGAAGCTTCCAATTTAAATTTCCATAAAAATTCACAACTCCATTTTTTCACTCTGTGAGTGAGTGAGTTTCATCAACAATGGCGGGTAATGCGGGCGGGTTTGAGGATGACCCGCTAGTTCCCGGGTCTTATTCGGAGCTACTATTCGGGGATGATATATCGGGTCTTGAGACAAATGGGATTTTCGGTTTTACAAATGATGACGCTGATAATGATGAGAAAAACATTAGTACTCCGAAGATGCTCTGTTTTGGTGACTATGCGAAGCAGTCTACTGTGAAAATGGCGGCGGAAAGTTCCAAGAAAACGGGTCGGAATATCCGACCCGCATGCAAGGACAGCCCATTGACCATTTCCAGTGTTTGTGCTTTGTACCTTTTTATGTGTTTATTTGTTTCTTTTTTTCCCCCCTCAAAAGTACACACTTGTTCTGTTACTTTTCGTAGAGATAAATAATTCCATATCTTTTCTTTCTATTTTTTTTTTAAAATTAATACGACAGAAGAAGAGAAACGGGTCGGGTAATCAGAATGCCGGATCTAATTCTGGAGCCCCGACAGCAAGCCAGAAGAACAGTAAGAAGCAAAAGTCAGATAGCTCTAACGTCAGTGGCCATGCAAAGGTGAATCTTCTTATTTTATTTCCCTTTTTTTTTTTTTCTTTCTTTTGGGAGATACTGAAATTTGTTTGATTTTTCAAATAAGTTTGTTTTTATGTAATTTTAATAAACTTTTTCTTCAGGTTGCTAAGAAGGAGAAGCTNGTTCTTATTAGTTACTAACAATTTATTAGAATTACTTAAGAAAACATTATATTTGATTTATTGAAAGATGCAGACAGATACAGCTTCTGTTCTTCATGAAGCATCAGGCTATATCAGATTTTTGCACGATCAAGTCCAAGTTTTATGTTCTCCGTATTTGCAACGTTTGCCGACCACTATGGAGGAGCCTCCTCATCCTGTGAGCTTTAATTAAGTAACAATTAATGCTGCTATATCAATAGTAATTGTCATGACTTACTATTTCTCATGATTTTAATTTTAATATAATAGGAAAACGGAGATCTCAAGGAGTGGGAAATGAAAAAGAAATTAAGTAATTTGAGAAGCCGAGGACTGTGCCTTGTCCCCATAGAGCTAACACTAAACGTGGCAGAAGAATCTAATGGTGCCGATTTGTGGTCATCGGTCGACAGGGTTTTAACTGGCTGAGCCGTTCAGTTGATGACTTCCCAAAGTGTGTGCAAATATTTTGATGATCGGCAATTTTGTGGTTTGTGGGTGGCAGAAAGTTTGTATTGTGGGAGGAACTGAAAGCCAAAAGGACAAGGAAAGTGAAAAGAAATGGTAAATATTAGGTGTGTGCAGGATATGGAAATGGAACCGCTGTTTGGTCTTAAGTGATTTTGGTTCTTGGCTTATGTAATGTTTTGTAGAGAATGGGCAGAAAATGGTATTAGGGCTACAGCAGGAATGATAAGTAGGCATAATGTATGTCTGGTTAAATCGTGGAATAGTGTTAAAATTGATGTTTTTGTGTATTTTGGTTATTGATGTTTGAGGTTTCATTTGTTCCCTCCAAGACAGTGAACTGATAAATTTTTTCACAGGAAATTGGTGCAGAACTTTAGAACTATAAAAAGTCACCAAAAGCAAAAAGCTTTTGTTCAACAACTCTTATATTGTATTTTTCCTCAAAAAGCCCACTTGAAGAAATATCTCTCTTTCTCTCTTCTGAGAGTTTTCTCTCTCTTATGAGAGTTTCTTGCCTCTTTCGAAGAGTTTCCTTCTCTTGAGTGGGAGTGTTATTCTGGCGACGTTTCTTGGAGCCGAGCAGGTGAGAGGTATAGAAGAGGAGTTGTGACCTAATAGTTGATTCAGGGGTAATGGAGCGAGAGGAGGAGGCATTGGGAACCCTAATGGAGAAGTTTTCATTGTCAGAGAGAGAAAGCACATTCATTGATATTGAAGATCGAGACGTGCGTGTCAGTGCTGAGGAATGCAGTCGAAGTCTCTTTGGGAAAGTGGTTGGGGAAAGAAGGGCCAATTGGATCGAAGTGAAGAGGGCTATGGCTCAAGCGTGGAGACTAGGCAATGCACTGGAGATAAGAGAGCTTGATGTCAATTTCTTTCAATTTATCTTCCAGACGGTGGCGACAAAAGAGAAAATTGCAATAGACAGAAATTGGGTCTTTGACAATCAATACATAATATTGCACGAGTGGAAAGATAAATTGAAGGGATTTGATGCTTGTTTTGACACTATTAACCTGTGGGTACAAGTGCATAATGTACCTCTGAACTGGTTGTGCACGGAGATGGGATTAAAGCTTAAAGCTATGTTCAAGGGTATCAAAAATGTCCATATAGCAAGAGTAGGCAACCAAGGAGGGAGAGTCTTAAAAATCCTAGCTACTCTTAACTTATCTGAACCGATTCCTAGATGGGAGAACATTAGACTGGGTAACAATGCGGTGCTGGTCCATTTCAAATATGAAAAACTCTTGAACCTATGTTATTATTGCGGGAAGATTGGGCATTTGGACAAGAACTGCAGGAAAAGACTAGCTGACATAGAAAGTGATGAAGTTAGGGAAGGGCAGTATGGTGAGTGGGTTAAAGCAGCAGAAGGGGCATACATGTCAGAGGTTCAAACAACCAGCAATCCATCAGATTCAGAGGGTAATCAAGAAACTAGTACTCTAGCTAAAGGGAGCGCATCCAGAGCTGAGACAGAAGAGATGGGATCATCTAATAAATTGACCAGACTGAGTAGGGGGAATCAGTTGATTAAGGAGACAGAGATGAATCAGTGTGGCAGAAAACCAGAATCAAGCTTAGCAGGTGAAAGGAGATTGACCATCTTTGAGGATGTAATGCCGACTATCCCTGAAGCACCCCAGCAAACTTTGCTAGCAGTTGTTCAACATATTGAGATGGAGATGAGCCAGACTGAAAACCTCCAAATAATCAAAGCAGATGATGGGGACAAAGGAAAGCAAATCAGAACTTGGAAAAGGAAACCTGCCTCTAAGGGCAGGTTACAAAGAAATCAAAGCCAAAATGGGGAAGCAAAGCAACAAGTGGTGAAAAAGAGGCAAAAACCAGAGGATGTAGCTTTTAACCCCAACAGAATGATAATGTAATAGAGGAAGAGAGAAAGAAGAAAGCAAAGTCACAAGGAGATTTGGTGGAGGCAGCCAACCATGAATGGCTCCACCCGTCCCAATGAGGGCTATGGTGTGGAATTGTAGAGGGCTGGGTGGGCCCTCCACAATTCCCCAATTGCGAGAGTCTATAATGGCTCATCACCCAACTTTTGTATATTTATCAGAAGTTAAAAAGCAGAAAGTTTATGTGGGAAAAGTGTGCAGTATGTTAGGGTTTGAGGACAGGTGGACCTATTGGGATCCTAGTGGGACCAGAGGTGGTTTATTATTATGCTGGGATAAGGAGACAGAGATCACTCAAATGATAGGCAATGAGTATAGCATTCAAGTGCAATACAGGGTTTAACCTTTAGATAATCCAGAATGGGCCGTTTTTGTGTACATTAGCACTGTTAAAGCAGACAGGGAACAACAATGGCTAGCCTTGCAAAGGGATAAAGCACAATGGGGCAATGACTGGGTAGCAATTGGGGACTGGATTGATATTTCATGCAGTGAAGAGAAATCAGGTGGAAGAGTAAGGCCAGATAGAAGCTTCCAAGGTTTTAATGAATTCATTGCTAATATGGGGATGTCTCAAATCCAGATGAAAGGTTACCCATTTACTTGGGGAAACAATAGGGTAGATGAAGGCTACGTTGAGGAAGTTCTGGATAAGGGATTTGGATCTTTAAGATGGACAGTTACTCATCCCCATGCTAGAGTGACTAATATTTTCAGAAGTTCTTCGGATCATGGGATGTTGCTGCTGAACTCAGAAGACAAACCAGTGCCAAAGAAGACTAGATTCAATTTCGATAAGAGGTGGATTCAGAGAGAAGGTGTGCAAGAGATAGTGGCTACTGCCTGGAAGGAAAGCAATCAAGGTACACCTTTTTTCATTATCAAAGAGAAAGTGAAGAAAACTAGACTTGCCCTATGTAAATGGAGCAGAGAGATGAATAGAGGGAGAAAGGGCCTTATTGATAGATTAACCTTATCTTTGGAAGAAATGAGGAATCTTGGAGGTGGCAGAAATTGGGAAGAGTGGGAGAAGCTCCAAACTGAACTTGATGCAGCTCTTATTTCTGAAGAACAGTTCTGGCAACAAAAATCTAGGATAATGTGGCTCAGAGATGGAGACCGCAACACAAAATTCTTTCATGCAATGACTGTTCACAGAAGAAGGAGAAATGCTATTACAAGGCTGGTGGAGGATGGAAGGATTTTTGATTCTGTTCAGGCCATTGAAAATCATGTGCTCAATTTTTATGACAATCTTTTTGAGACAGAGGGATCAAGTGGGGATGAGGAGGCTCTTAGTAATATCAGGCAAGTCATTGATCAGTCCATGAATACTGAGTTGACAAGGGAAGTGCAAGCTGATGAGATCAAGCAAGCTTTATTTCAGATGAATCCTCTGAAAGCCCCTGGAGAAGATGGCATGACATCCCTGTTCTACCAACATTTTTGGCCACTGATTGGAGATGACATTTGTAAGGCAGTAACCAGCTTCTTTGAGTCAAGTCAGATGCTCAGGTACTGGAACCAAACCTTGGTTGCCCTTATTCCAAAATGCTCTAATCCCACCTCTTTGAGTCAGTATAAGCCAATCAGCTTATGTAGTGTGTTTTACAAATTGATATCAAAAATCCTGGCTTCCAGATTAAAATGTTGTCTTGATGTGTGTGTGAACAATGCACAAGCTGCCTTTGTCCCAGGAAGGCAGCTTCTGGATAATGTAGTGCTTGCTCAGGAGGTTTTTCACTACATGAACAGACACAGATCTGGACCAAACTGCTTTATGGCTCTGAAGCTGGATATGCTCAAAGCATATGATAGAGTGGAGATGATGTGTGTTCAAAAGATAATGGTGAAGATGGGGTTTGCTAATCAGTTTATGAAATGGGTAATGGCCAGCATCACTACATCTTCCTTTTCTTTTCTGGTGAATGGCAAGACTGTTGGGCAGGTACACCCTACAAGGGGGTTGAGACAAGATGACCTAATTTCCCCTTATTTGTTTTTGTTGGTGTCAGAAATATTCTCTTCACTCATTCAACAAGCAGCAGACAGAAATCAGTTCAAGGGGCTTAGAATTTCAAGAGAAGGACCAACTTTGACACACCTGTTGTTTGCTGATGACTCTTTAGTGTTTTGTAAAGCTGAACCAGATCAGGCAATGAGACTGCTTCATATTTTGGAGATTTATCAGAGATTCTCAGGCCAAAAGGTGAATCTTGCTAAATCAACCATTTTTTTCAGTAGGAATAGCACAGTTATTAAGAAACAGGCAGTGTGTGCTATCTTAGAGGGGATTCAATCTCAGACATCTACCAGGTATTTGGGGCTGCCACTGGGAATAGGGAAATCCAAGAAAGAGGCATTTGATTTCATTCTCCAAGCAGTTAGAAATAGATTAATCAGTTGGCAAAACTCTTACTTGTCAACTGCAGGCAAGGAAGTTCTTGTAAAGGCAGTGATTAATGCTCTTCCTGTGTTTGCTATGAGCTACTTCAAGCTACCTAAGGCAATATGTGCTGAACTGAGTAAAATCACTGCATCATTTTGGTGGAGCACATGGGCTAAGCAGGATAAAGGGATTCACTGGAAGAACTGGAACATCTTGACTCTACCTAAAGTGGAAGGTGGCTTAGGGTTTCAGGATTATAGGCTATTCAATGAGGCTTTAATCTTGAAACAATTGTGGAGACTCACTACTGAACCGGAGCTGCTCATTAGTAAGGTGCTTAAGGCAAGATATTTTCCTAAGTCATCCATTTTTGAAGTGAAGAAGGTGCAGACTGCCTCATGGCTGTGGAATAACTGGGCAGAGTTGATCCCAATTTTTGCTAAAGGGCTGAGCAGAGAGATCAGAGATGGAAAGGATACCAAAATCTTGGATCATAGCTGGGTTCCAGAGCTTGTTCATAAATGTCCACAACCTTTGGGGCACTGGAGACAGACTCTTACTTGGGTCAATGACTTAATGAGTGCTGATGGATGCAGCTGGAATGAGCATTTACCTACAAGGGCTTTCTCAGAAGCAGACAGGCTAGCCATTCTTGGAGTACAGACGATTAAACCTGATCAATCTGATAGATGGAAATGGAGCTTGGACAAATAAGGGAAATTCAAAATGTCAGGCTCCTACCAAAAACTCATGGATGAAAAAGTTCTCAGAATGGATATTGCACAGTGCAGCTAAACAGGAGGGAGAGATAAGAAAATTAGACAGAGGAGCTGGAGAATGAGGGTTAAAGGGAAATTGAAACATTTCATTTGGAAATGCTTTAATGGAATTCTGCCAGCCAGTGTAAATGTGAGAAAAAAGGGTGTTCAAATTGATGTTATATGCAAGCAATGTGGAGAACAGGAGGAAACCATTGAACATGTTTTCTTCAACTGCCGGAGAGCAAAATCAGTCTAGAAGAAGGCACAAGTAGAATGGGATGGAGTGCTACATGGAGAATCATCCTTTAGACTATGGTGGTGGCAGGTATGCTCTACTGATACTTCTATCATTTCTGAGGATCGCATTCAACTCACCACTTATATCCTTTGGTGGCTATGGCGATCCCGAAATTTTTGGTTGTTTGAAAATGTTTGGATGCCTGATGAAGTCCTGATTAGGGGTGCGTGGAAGGAGTGGCAAGAGTTTGTTAGGGTCTCGGCAGTGGAGTATGCTTAGTCTTAGTGTTGGCTGTTTGTTTCAATTTGTTGCTGGTCTTTTTCTTTCTTTTTTTCTGTTGTTTTAGGTTCTGTTAGTTCTTAGTATGAGTGTGTTTGGTTTGTACGGGTGGTTCTGGTGGTTTGACGACTTCTGGTTTCGGGGGTATGTCCTTGCCAAAAGTTTCGTTTGATTAGGTTGCACTCAATGAGAGTGTTACTCCCATTGTGTTTTATTTTCGGTCTGTTTCCGGCTTGTACTGAACTATGATTTTGGTGTTATGGAGTTCATCTATCGTTTGGAAAAAAAAAAAAAAAAATATATCTCTCTCTCCATTTTCCCCAATTCGCCGCAGAAAAACCCTAGCCTTCGAATTCGCCGGCCGCCTCCTTCCCGCACCCGTGCAGTGCTTCTGGTCCCTTGTCATGTCGTGGATTTTCTCAATCGAGCAAGGGTCTCGCCTCATCCCCAATTCGTCGAAGAAAAACCCTAGCCTTCGAATTCACCAGTCACCTCCTTCCTGCGCCCGTGTACTCGTGTAGTGATGGTCGTCCTTCAGCCGTGCTTCTGCTCCCTCGTCATGTCGTGGATTTCTCAATCAAGCAAGAGTCTCGCCTCATTCGCAGGTTGCCTTGTAGGTCGTGAGGCGGTCCCGGCGTCCGACAGCGTAGCTGACGGCAAGCTCCGGTTACTGCCTTGCGGTGGTCAGAGCCGAGTTTAGCCTCTCATCTCCCCTTGCTTTTCTGTCTTGCCTAGTGTGTGGTGGAGGGTGCCGGTGGGTTCGGGTCGAGGAGTTAGCTCTATTGGTCTAGGCTGCCGATGGGTTAAGGAGTATGAGGTTTGGGGCTTTTTGGTTCTCCTTCTCCCCTGTTTTTCCCGTTGTCTTGAGATTGGGCGATGGGGCTAGCCTGTGGGTGTGGGTCAGTGGTTTCGGTGGCGATGGCGCATAGCCTTTTCGCAATTTATCAATTATCTTCCGTGTGTCGCATAGTTTATTGCATAATTGTTTCGCACTTTATCAATTGTGTTCGCATGTTTGTCACACTGTTTATTGCATAATTATTTCGCATTTTATCAATGAGAAATGCTACAAGTACATAATACTGTACATAGAGTTGTACATAACTCACATAAGTGGATCCTACTAAAAATAAAAATTTCCAGTGAATCCCACTCCATGTGAGTGTTATGTACACCTTTATGTAACATTTATTATGTACTTGTAACATATTTTTTGTGTCGCATATGCTAGTGTATAATTGTTTTCCCACTTTATGTGGTGAAAAAGTTAAATTTTTATTTGGCGGTATGTAAAACTTATTCTGTCTTCATATCCACGTGAAAATAGCTACTTCCTATAATAAGTCAATATCAATTTAATTATATTTATTTGGGTTAGAAATATTATCATTATTGAAAAGTCCTATTTTATTCATATACTTAATTGTGATTATAGTGTATTAGAATACTTAATTTTCATTATAATTTTTCTATAAAAAAGTGTAATATTTTGCCAACTAATTCATCCTTTTAACAACAACAGTAATAATGATAATAAACTAATAATTTTCAAATGATCAGATGCACATTTCTCAATCATGTCACTAAATTTATTTATTTATTTTTGTAAATAATTATTTAAGTGCCAAATATTGTATTTTTTTCTATACGAAATTGTTGTATGTTACAGTTGTTTTAAAGAGTCCAAATAGAGACGAGCCACCGCCAAACTGCCAGTCACGGTGCTCTGGCTGACTGCCTCTGCAAATCGGCCGCTTCAGTCCCGACGTCCCTCTACGACCCTCAATTTCAGGTATTTGATGGCTAAATCTTTGACTATTTGAATGTTTTTCCTTTACCGGTGGCTAAATTCGAGAAAGAGTTGGCAAAACACTTCTCCTCCCATGGGGAACAATTGATTTAATGTTAGGAGTCCAAAGTAGTTGTGAAAGGTTATTCATTATTTGAATTGGGGATCTGCTGCTGTTGGTTGTTGGAAATTTGCAGATATGGAAATCGTCTCAAACGCCGCCGATCAAATTCCCGATAAAGAAGGTCAGCCAAACGCTCCCTGCAATGGCAATTTGATGCTTGTGGTGCAGCATGTATGCAATCAAACCCTGAGTGCTCAGTAATCTCAACCAAAGATAACTCGTTCAAAGTGCTGCAAGATAATGATGATGATAATCTTCCAAACCTGTCTCTCCTCAAAGCCGACAACTACGATCCCTTTATGCAGAAATACCAATTATGGTGTTCTAGCGAGTTGCGACTCATGGATGCTGTTGACTCGTGAATCGTTTGCCTTTACAAGGATGATAAAGCATTTCTTGAGGGTTGCCTATGGATTTATGATTGCCTATGTTGGGGAATATATTATTTTTTGCTTCTGGCCAGTATTTACTTGTTAATCATAGGCGTAAATTGACATAGAACTGGATTTTTTTTTTCTTTTTCTCATTTTCTATGAATCATTGTTCCTGTTTGTTTCACCATTTTTTCATCTAAGCTCATCCACTTAAGTTTTAATTTTTTTATTTTCTTTGTCTAGTGCTGTAAGTAATTAGACTAACCCTTCTGTTTTATTCTAACTAATACAACGTAATCACCATTTCTACAATTGAGTGGAGGATTTCGGTGAAATTTTATAAATTTCAATTCAACATTCCAGATAGTGGCTTGAAACTAGGTTCCAGTTTTATCAGGACACTTACTTCCCTGCAGACTGTTTTTATTGGTCGATACTCTATGAATTGTGGATCGAATCAATATATATCATAGTGGGCTCCATCATATATTGGAATAATGAGTCCAATTATGATTTACTTATTCATGTGGAGTTGCTGTGGAAGTCTGGTCCAAATCTTTAAAGTGCGAGTAAAGTTTTCTTTTGTTCATACTAATTACTTTGATTGGTTGATATGATTAGTTAATCAGGCAGGAGTTCCATATTTTAGACCTTTAGTTGCTGTATTTATGGGAATGGAAGTCCAGGCGGCGGGGGCAACCTACAAAGGCCTTTTATAGCCTTTTGGGCTGGCAGCTTGACAATTTGAGGCGCAAAAATGCGCATTTTAGTTCAAGCCAAGATTTTTTAGTTGAAAATTGAGATCAATCCATTTGACTTGGCAAACCATAACTAAAGTTTGCCTCATTCACCTATATATATATATATATATTTGTTCATCAATTCACATAGCAAGAACCTAGTAAGAAAATGGCCAACTTATTGTTGATCTTCTCATCTTTGGCCATCCTATTGGCCACACGGGGAATCCTAGCCGTTGATTACACCTTCACCAACACTACTGTGTTGCCAAAGTTTGACAAGGAAATTGGTAAGAACTACACACTGCAAATCATGAATGAGTCCACGGCATTCATCTGGAAGACTTTCCATCAAACGAGCCCAGCTGACAGAAAAAGTGTAGAGAATGTGAGCTTATTTATCGATGTCATGAAAGGGGTGGCGTACACTATCGATAACCAGATCCATTTTGGCGCCGGGTACATCTCACATATGTTGAATAATTTATCGATAACCAGATCCATTATTAGATCTTACATCTAATAATCGGATTCTAGATGTAATTATGAATACCAGCTTAATTAATTAATTAAAAGGTATAAGATCTTATTGTAATAGTGCAGGTACATCCAGAACTACTCAGGTGACGTGAGAAGGGAATTTAAAGGTATTTTATACCACGAGATGACTCATGTTTGGCAATACGACGGCAAAGGTCATGCTCCCAGTGGCCTGATCGAAGGCATAGCTGATTTTGTGAGGCTGAAAGCCAATCTGGCGCCAAAACATTGGGTAAAGCCTGGTGAGGGCCAGAAATGGGACCAGGGATATGACGTCACGGCACATTTCTTGGATTATTGCAATGACAAGAAGAAAGGGTTTGTTGCCGAGCTCAACAAGATGATGAAAGATGGCTTCACAAACAAGTACTTTCAAAAGCTGCTTGGAAAGACGGTCAATGAGCTATGGAAGGAGTACAAAGCTAAATATAATCCCAAAAAGTAGGCAAAACCTGTTTTTGTGTGCTTGTAATAGAAATAAGGCCTAATTGCTTAAAAAATCTCTCAACTTTTTTACTTTTGTCATTAAATGTCCAACCTTTTCTATTTGTTGCATACGAATCTCCATTGGTTTTTCGACCACCACCTTGCTGATGTGCCCAACCAAGTACTGATGTGTACATTCAAAAAGCTGAAGTGACTTTTTTAAAGTCTAAAATACATATATATGTGTGTGTTATTTCCACGTCATTGTTCAAATAAAATCCTCGTCAAACATTATTTCTTCCACAATCGTATTTCCCCATTATTTCAAACATTATTTTTAATATAAATAAAAAATACATATTTCAATATAATGGATATACATAAGTTATTATTAGTTATTTTAAGTATTTGAATGTTTTAAATTGGCTTAATATTTAATTAACACATTTGTATATATAAATTTTATTATATAAAATATTATATATGTTTAAAATATTATAAATTAAATACCAGTCCAATAGTTCAACCAGACCAATAGACCATTGAACCAGTAACTTGACCGATAACAACCAAAAAGATTAGGCAAGTACATGATTCCAATGTCCAACAAAGGGCAGCTACAACATTTTTGCTGCCTTATTGTTCCCATTTACCTGTTGTCTCTTTTAGTTGGCTTAGTCCCTGTTGTGAACTCCCTGTTTTGTTTGTTGTTTGGCCAGTTCGCCTCCCGGACCTTTGTACATTTTTTCTAGTTATAAAATCTATCGTTTTGAAAAAGAAAAAAAAAAAAAAAAAAACCTGCTACACAACCAAACTCATTACACAGTCTTGGCAAAGCCCATGATAGATATCAATTTAGTCTGCCTCCCATCTCTCGGAGGTTACATACAGAGATCTCTGTTATTCTTCTTGACTCATTCGCAAGCACAACATTAACTATCCAATTTCCACAAACTGTACATCTGTATCTTTACACACCACGATCCACACCAAAATGCTAAAAACAACATTACTCAGAAAAGGATCATCATACCTACCAGGGCTTTTTCGCTGTCTCCTCAGCCGTCCAAAAGTCTGCATTCTCTGCATACACCATCAACTCATTCCTTTCATACTCTGAACCATAATACTCTTCTTCTTCTTCTTCTTCTTCTATTGCAAACAGATCATCCAAACCATCATCATCATCCTCCTCAAACTCATCAAAATCCTCGTCACCCCCCAAATTCCGAGCATCAACCACTCCCCCATACATATACTCCCTTCTCCTCTCTCTCCTCATCCTCTTCCCTTCTCTCACAAGCCTCATCATCTCATCTCTTATCTCCAACATCTCATCCTTCACCAAAAGCACCCCTTTCTCACTATATCCCTCCACCAAAAAAACCGAATCCCTCTGCCCTTTCAAGCTCACGTAAAACATCTCCGGATGCCTCACCAACATACCCCTAAGCCTATTCGGAAGCCCAAACTCCTTCCTAAAATGTGTCAAGTGGTCCACCAAACTCCTCTTCTCCACCGTCATCCCCAAGACCTCCCTCACAACCGCGCAAGCCCTCTTCTCCGCCTCCAAAGACTCTTTCCTCAAGTCCACTGCACTTATCCCGTACGGGCACACGCTCGGGATTTCCCCAAACCTAAGTAAAAACTCGCGATGACGTTTCTTCACATTCAACCCCTTCCGCAATTTCACATGTTTGAATTTTAACGGGCGATCGACTATAAGCCCGCGGGCCGACCCATCCTCGTCGCGCGGCAGGACCTCAGCAAGGCTCTGGTCCCACGAAACAAGCTCGAGCGCCCGTCCATAAGAAGTTTCGACAGTTTTGAATCTATCCGGATAGTCGTTGCATAATCGGGAGCGAAAATTGGCGGGAAAACCGAGATCGGGGCCCAAATGCACGAGCTTGGAGAGGAGTAGCCTGTGATGAGGTGAGGCGAGCATGAGGAGTTTTTGGAGCTTTGAAGCCAGAGAATCAGAGATTCGCTTTTTGAAATCGGTTTCTCTTTTGGCTAAGACGGCTGCTTGCGGGGTTAGGCGGACACAGAGCTGAGAAAGTGGGCCCGAGGCGTTTAAAGGGAATGGTGGGGTGGGGATGGAGAAAAGCTCGAAAATTGTCGGGTAGCGGCGAATCATGGAGAGGAGAGAGCGGGGTTTGGGTATGGAGAGGAAAGAGCGGCACTTGTAGAGAATTTGTACGGGAATGAAGTGTTTGGGTTTGGAGAGGAGGAGGGTTTTGAGCTTCTGCACGAACCGGATCTTGTTTTGCTTCACGATGTGGCGGTCGAGCTTTGGGTCGCGGACGGGTTTGTGAGGGGATGATGAGGAGCATGTGATGAGAAAAGGTGGAGGAATCTTGAGTTTGGGGTGTGGTGTTGTTCGGATTATTGGTTTTGGTGGGGTTTGAAGAAATTGGGATTGGAGAGAGGGTTTATGGGTGTGGCGTGGAGTGGGAATTAAGGGAGAAAATGGTAGCAGGGCCATTGTCGTTGTTCAAGCTCTTTGGCGCATTTAATCAAACAGGTGGGGTGCAATTAGTGATGGCAAACAAGGGCATTAATCGGCAATTAGGAAACGAGACTGTAAGGGGAAAGGGCGGTGAAATGACTTCGCTTGTATCAAAGCAACTGTTGGGGGTTGGGAGAGGGGAAGAATTGCACTGTTAGATTAATGCCCAAGAAGAAGACGAGGAAAGGATTAAAAAAAATCTCTGTTCGTGTGTATTAAAGTTTCTCAAAACGACACCGCTCGGTAGCTTAGAAGTTAGAATGCGTTGAACCTACGTGGCAAACTCTCATGTTTCGGAATTTTACTAGTGTGTACCCCGTGCGATGCACGGGAACAATATTAAATTAACAATATTATAAATAGACCTCGAGTTTGAGTCACTCAATGGCGGAAGTGGAAATTACTATTGATCCTATTTAAAAAGAGGAAGAAAAAAAATAATTATAAATTAAAGGGGAGGATAAAAAATACTTAATAATTATAAATTAAAGATTCGGGATCAAACAATGTAAAATTATTTTGTATAAGAGAATATATAAAATTTTAATCACACACCATTTCAAAATTATTATTATACTTTTTTGTATGGTTAGCTTATAATATTTGTAAAAATATTAGTAATTAGACCGATGAAAATTAGCTTCTTAAGGTAGATAATGAATTTCTAGTAGTAATTATGAATTGGTTTTCTATCTTATTTTATTTTTTCAAATCTCTATAGATAAGGGATGAGACGTGAGACTTATGCAATGAGATTTTATAACAAAAGAGATAAGCTCGTGTAGATTTATACTAAAAATAGAAAAAGAAAAATAAATATTTATTGTCAAACAACGGTTTTTTTGATAAAGTAAAAAACATGAAAAAAATAAACAAATCTTTACACAATTAATGAACCGATTTTTTTGCCTATTCAAGTTTATCCAACAATTACTATATGTAGGATATATTTAATGATTTTGGCGGGAAAAAGTTTCTAAATTTGCAAAAAAGTTATTCTTTTTATATAATGATAGATTTGGCAAAAAAAATCATGTTTGAAGAGTTAGGTTTGGATATAAATTAATATTTGTATTAATTATATTTTAATATCATTTCCTATTATAACCAATGAATTACAAATATATTTTAAAAGTTGATAACTTTTGTATTTCTTATCGGTTTTACATATATAATATATCAAATTAATCATCTTTTGATGAACTTTGATTTGACATCCATATTGTATATATAAAATAAATAAATTATATTTATTTTTATAATAATAAAATTATTTATTTAAATTAATTAGAAAATAAAATTATTTATCAATTAATATATTTATGTTTATTGTAGTTATATGTTATAAGGTAGAAAATTTATTATAATATAACACATATGAGTCACACAAGTAACATTTGTCATACTAAAATATATAATATATACTCCCTCCTATTTTTATTATTTGTCACTTTGGCATAATTGATCATTGAGAAAATAAATGTCGTTTTAGATATTTTGTTCATAATTTTTCATTTTTAGTCCTCCATTTAATACACAGTGTCTCTTCATATCCCATCTTCATCATTTCCCATAACATCAATTAAATAGAGTTAATATTGTCAAGAAAAAAAATCCTAATTAGTGTGTTGCATTTGAATTGATATTATGAAGTCCGTTTGTATTGTACTATTTATATATAAACAAAAAAATACAAAACAGTAATATACTCCCTCCATTTTGAAATATAAGGCGTATAAAGATTTCTCATTTTTTTTGAAATATAAGGCGCGCTCAAAAATCAAGACAAATTTTTGCATTTTTTTCCAAATATACCCTCATTGTGTTGAAATTAAGGAAGTGTGGAGTGGTTGTGATTAGAGTAAATAAGGTTAATTTAGTCAATTTATTCATTAATTAATGTCTCCTTAATATTTGTGCAATAACCTTAAATGCCTTATATTTCAAAATGGAGGGAGTATATCCTTATAAATAAAATTTAAATTATTTATCAAGCTAAATTAAATTATATCAAATAAAACTATAAATTATATTATAAAGTAATAGAAATTGGTATGTATTCTTTTAAAAATGATATTTATTTCAAATCTAATTGGTATGTTGTCAATGTAATAAAAATAAATAATTATTTATATAAATTCTAAAATTACATATAAAGTTAAAAAATTGTGAAGAAGCACGACTGATACAACACTTGATGTATTAGACATCTAATTAAGTAAAAAAATTAATCTATTTTGCTTAATATTAAATAAACATATTCTATACTTATGCATATACATATCACCATATTATTTCTATTTATTTAAGATATATATTGTACTTATGTACTAGTAAATAATATCGATATTTTTATACGATATAAGTAAAAAAATTCAACACGGGCTGACATTTTCATTTAATATACGGGTGTTTAATTATTATGATTAAAAAAATATAATTTGACAATTTAATTAAAACCCAAAGTAATGTTTTATATAAAATTAAATTATTTTAGTTTTTAAAAAATAAAAAAATTAATATATTTTACAAAAGATTAATATTATAATATATTTTGGCTTAATCCAATCCCCTCCATGAACCACAAAAATTACGTGGGTTAAGAATCCTTTATCAATCAAATGTTAAGAATTATATATCAATATTGCTTAATTACACGAGTTAAGAATCTTATAACAATCAAATGTTAAGAATCCTATATCAAATTATAAATTAAACTAATTCAAAATATATAAAAAAGTATATTTTATCATATAAAGCAATAAAAATTTATGTCTATTAACATGCTATAATATAGCTATTTTATTTAGAAAAAAATAAATAAATTAATTATGAACATCAAATTAGTATAAACAAATAGTCTAAAAGTTTATGTCTCGACTTAAATGAAGACTACACATAAACATTATGATCGTGAAAAATAAAGTAAATAAACATTATAATTAAAATATAAAAATAATTATTTTATTTCGTAAATTTGAAAATATTACACTCATACACATTATATTTTAAATTTTTTAACATCATAAAGTTGAATAAGTTTTAAAATATATTAAATCAGGTAGAAAGATTGTATAAATATAAAGTATAATTACAATATAATCATACTTGAAGAAAAAATTAAAATTAAATATGTGTGTGTATGTGTATGTGTGTGTGGTTAAGAAAATTATCATTTTAACAATTTGAGTTTAAAATAAGTGTATTATTTTAAATAATTATTTTTGTTATTTTTTTTAGTTATTAGTTGTATATCTATTTTTTTATCATTCTACTATAAGAATATATATTTCTTCACTTCTTTATTTTGATACAAATATTTAACTTTTAAGCGCCCGCGATATTCATGGGCGTTATTAACTGTCAAATAGATTAATAAGATCTATTTAATTTTAACAAAAATAAATATATATTAAATAAAATACATAATATTTCATAAAAATATTTTATAGAATTCATAATGTTAAAAATATTTTTTATTAAATATTTATAGTTTTTTAATTTACAATAGTAATTTTTTTTCCCTTTTTGTTGGATAATTAATTTTTTATGGAACACCCGTGTAGTACACGGGCGTTATACTAGTATTTTATTATTAGTTGACTACTGGTTGCAAGTTGCAACAGTGTTTTGCAACTAAGGGTTGTTTTTGAAGATTGCATTAGTTGTTTTTATCAGTTGATTAAGTTAATATGTAAAATTATTTATAACGACGTCAGCGTCAACATACTTTATCATTTTTATCTATGTTGAACATATATTTACTTAGAAAACAAAAATAATTAATATTTTAAATATTTATTAAAGTGATATATAATAAAAGTATACTTTATATTCTTATTTATGTTGAACTTATAATTGTTTGAGTATTCCTAAAACCTTTTCTCACTAAATTTCTCAAATTGTTTGGATGTTTTGTAAGTTTAACATATTATTTTAGGAGACTATATGATGGGGATCTTAGTAGTTAATTTTAGAAAAAAAATACACTCAAAACCAANCAATATAACAATATCTTTCTCAAATTATAGGGATGATACTTATTATCAATTTTATAAGAAGGAGAGAAAAGAAGATTAAGACGAGTTTTTTTTCTTTTGAAATGGTTGAATAAAAACGCTGCAAAAAGCAGTTTGATGTGTTTTGGCTGAGCCAGAAACACTAGTTCTAAAAGTTGTTTACCAAATTTTTTTTACCTGATTAAAATAGTCAAACAATTAGATGGTACGTATTAAACAAACGGGCCTAGGGCAGGTCGATCCTGGACCCAGTCTAGATGGATCCGTTATACAGTGTCACTCGGAACCCGGTTAAAATTCGATCGACTATACAATATTAGTAAGTAAGGCAGTTTCACTATACAAATAATTACTTTAGTAAGTTGAATTAAAAAATGAGTCATTTCTCACTTCAATAGATTCCACGGGACATATTTTAAATAAAATTCTCAAATATGTTTTTGATCTGCCTGTTAGGCTTAACTAGTAATCTAGTAGAACATTAGTATAAATGTATTATAACTTATAATAAACGCTATGTTCAAATAAAACAAAGGATCAAATTCCATGTTTTATTTTTATGTTCCATATCACATTTCATTCCGTTTGATAAATGACAAGTGTGTAAATATGACATCATCATATACATGTGTCATTCATCAGTGTCATTCATTAAATGAAATGAAACACGAAATGAAATATAAAAGTGAAATAAGAAATCTCATTCTATTCAACAACATTCATTTTGTTACATTTTATTCATTTAAAACAAAAGTCCTGCATATCTTTTATCTCTTTTATCTTACTATCAGTACACAAGAAAATGAGGAAAATATTTTTAAGGAGTTTGGATTACAATTTTTTATTCTTTGTATCATCAACTATGATTTTGTTTTAATTTAATACATATTTCACAAACCTTGCAACGCGGCAGTATAATTTCTAGTGTCAATTATGCACGAACTGAGAGTATCGAAATATATTCTCCTTTGTCAGTACGCATAAAAGGAGTTGGGCTTGTTAAATGAGTAACTTAGACCATTCTCATCGGTGACCCAACCTATTGGATCACCAGCATAAAGACATTGATGAATTCTAGTGGTTCAAATGATAATTAAATTCTAGTGTGAGAACCGTGAGAATCGCTATTTTTAATTGTACGTAATGCTATGATTGATTGTATTTTAGTGCTATTTTTAACATTGATGAATTTTATTAAAAATAGCAACACCATTCGTATTAGCATTTGTGAAAATGATAGCACCATGAGATATTAAAAATAGCATCATACGCAATAAAAAATAGCATCAAATATGGTTCTCACGGTTTTCACACCAGGACTAGTTTTTATTTGAATCAGCCCATATAGATAAGATAAGATAAGATAACTCAAATTATTGCAAATTATTGGATAAGGGATGAGAGGAATGGGACACTTGACTCATTTCCATTGGTCACGTAAAATTTAAATGATAAGATAAGATAACTCAAATTATTGATATTATTTTATAGGGAAAACTACACTTAAGCCACCTAATTATAGGGTTTTTTGCACTTTACCCATTCAACTTTTTCTTGTGACACTTTGCCCATACAACTTTGCAAAAAATTGCACTTAACCAATTTTCGGTCATCGTCAGGGAATTTCTGAGGACAAAATTAATTTTTCAGTCATTCATCCAGTTAATTGTAATGTAAAAAATTACACTTTACGCACCCACCTATACGTTTTTTTGCACTTTACCCACTCAACTTTTTTTTTATTTACTGCCCATAGAAATGGTCGGACGGTGACCGGAAATTGGTTAAGTGCAATTTTTTAGAATGTTATATGGACAAAGTGTCACAAAAAAAAAAAAAATAAAATAAAATAAAAAATTGATTGGGTAAAGTGTAGTTTTTCCTATTTTATATTAAAAAAATATCAAAATTCGTATTTTTTCATTATCTAGAAATAGAGACCACAAGTACATAATAAATGTACATAGAGGTATACATAACACTCACATTGAGTAGGGCCCACTTGATTTTTAATTTTTGGTGGGTCTGTTATGTACACCCTTATCTACGATATTATGTACATAACTACCTATAGCATTTTTTTTTTATTTTTGTGGGTCCCACTAAATGTGATTGTTATGTACACTCATATGTACAATATTATGTACATATAGCATTTCTCTTTAGTCTTATATGATTTTCGGGGACCAATTTTAGCTTTAGCCTACGTAAAGAATTATGGCTGCCAGATCGTAAAACTAGCAAATAGAAGATTCCGAAATGCATCGGTTTCTTTAGATGAATTGGTCTTACGAACAACAATATCTCTCCAATACATATAAGGAATTAACATGGGCCTTTATTGGCTGACACGTGGCATTTTTCCAGCCCAATAATGTCTTTATTTTTCCTGGTAATTACGAAATTGGCACTTTACTTTATGCATTAAGTGAGAGGAAAATCATCTTTTTTGCTCTTCCGTGGATTTGCTGCGCGTAAAATCTGGGTCTTCTGTATTGGAGTTTACTTTTTGGCACGCTTTGAAGAGACTGTGGGATTTGGTGTGTGCTTCATTTTCGTTTGTCTTTCTTGGGTTAAGCTTGTTTTATTGCGAATTATTTCTACCTGGTTGTTTTGCGAAGGAGACGTCAAACATTGTAAGATGGGTTTGATCTTATGGTTGGAGCACCTTATAGATTTGTTGTATATCTGACATTTATAGGGCTATTTTTGTGTTTTTCATTTAAAAGAGAAATATTAAATGGGTGTTGGTGGGTGTTTGTCGTGGCTGTTTGTCGTGTCTTTGACGAGCAGCAAATTCACTGCAGTTCGGCGATAAAATGCCCGACAAGTTGAGTTTTTCTTGCCGCTTTTGGATTCTTCAACTTGAGCAAGTTTTTAATTGTTATGGGGTGTTATCAATATTAGTGTGTACCCCGTGCGATGCACGGGAATAATATTATAAATAGACCTCGAGTTTGAGTCACTCAATGGCGGAAGTGGAAACTACTATTGATCCTATTTAAAAAGAGGAAGAAAAAAAATAATTTTAAATTAAAGAGAAGTATAAACAATACTTAATAATTATAAATTAAAGATTCGGGTCAAACAATGTAAAATTATTTTGTATAAGAGAATATATAAAAAAATTTGATTACACACCATTTCAAAATTATTATTATACTTTTTTGTATGGTAAGCTTATAATATTTGTAAAAATATTAGTAATTAGACCGATAAAAATTAGCTTCTTAAAGTAGATAATAGATTTCTAGTAGTAATTATGAATTGATTTTTATTTTATTTTATTTTTTCAAATCTCTATAGATAAGGGATGAGACGTGAGACTTATGCAATGAGATTTTGTAACAAGAGAGATAAGCTCGTGTAGATTTATATTAAAAATAGGAAAAAGAAAAACAAATATTTATTTTCAAACAACAGTTTTGATAAACTAAAAAACAAAAGAGAAACAAATCTTTAAACAATTAATGAGTCGATTTTTTTGCCTATTCAGATTTGTCTAACAATTACTATATGTAGGATATATTTAATGATTTTGGCGGGAAAAGGTTTCTAAATTTGTAAAAAGGTTATTCTTTTTATATAATGATAGATTACAATTATTCTTTTCACTGTTTTGGCTGATTGGATTCTAGAACTTGAAGTGGGTTTTCAAGATCAAGTTATTAATTATTATGAGGTGTTATCATTATTATAATTATTATTTTCACTGTTTTGGCTGATTCATTCTGATGGGGTTGTTTGCTGTAGAGTGTGAGATGGCTTCAACTTCATCTGTTTTATGCTATTTCTTCATACTTTCATTCTTTTTTGCTTTCCTATTTTGTTTGCTGGCTATTGGCTTTATCAAACTTTTAGTGTGATTGTCAGAAAATATTTCGTCTTTGTGCTATCTTGTGGAGTGGATTTCTTGACAAATTTGGCATGTTTGTGAGATTCTCTTCTTCTGTTTTTGCTGTGCCAGATGCTATCTCCATTCACTTCTTGTTGCGAACAATTAGTTGTTACGATTTTTGTACTGCTCTGTTTGACAATTAATGTGATATATCCTTAATTGGGTGTTGTCTCACAACTTTGTCTTGTGGATACATTGTAAATTTTTGGCTGCGTATGATATACTATGGTTTGATCTTATGGTTGGGTCACCTTTAAATTTGTTGTATATCTGACATTTATAGGGCTATTTTTGTGTTTTTCATTTTAAAAAAAAAAAATAAAATGACTGTTGTTAGGTGTTTGTCGTGTGTTTGTTTAGTTTGGGATTGAAAGTTATTGCTTTCTTCGTATCTGGCGACATTGTAAATTTTTGCCTACGTACGATCTACTTGGCGACCTTGCCAGTACTTCAGATCTGCTCTGCGTGTATTTATTGTGAAGCTTTCTGTGTCTGTTGTGTGGTTCTTGATGACTGTCCGTGCAATTCATTACATATTCCTTGTTGTAAATGTAATGTTTTTTTCTTTTCTGTGTTTGTCATGATAGTACATTATAATTAATAATTTTTTTTTTTTTTTGTTTACCCATTGGTGATGCATATTCACTGTGTTCTTTTATTATACAAAACTTGTTTGTTACAGGACGGGTTGATGAAACCTGTGCATGAACAACTCTGCAGTCAGTCAACTGACTTGGAACAAACCATACGGCAAGCTTCTCTTCGGAGGTGGAGGGCCAAAAAACAGCGTGTCGGTGAGTCTTTGTTGGGTCAGTCATACCCGTCTGCAGTGGACAAACCAAATTTAAGGTTTCATGATGAGGCGGCAAGTTACCATTGCGTGTTGCAGAAACCGCGGGTCTTCTTTTGTGTCTTATTTATATTTTTAGCCTATGTATTTTATTTGTTATTTAATTAATTTGCGTGGTATTGTTCTGTGGCTTCTTCGCTTACTTGCTTGATTTTTTAAAAAAAAAAAATAGGTTCATCTGGCGATCCTTTGACAGCTGCGGTCGCTGATGCAGGTTTACATATTTTTCCTGTAGATTGTGTTTTTTTTGCTTAAACTGTGGCTCAAAATTCTTGTTATGCATACCTCACCTTTTATTGTATGTTCATCTGCAGGTCAGTTACGAAGATCTNAAAAAAAAAAAAAAAATACATATTCACGCAAACTTACGGGAAAATAGGAACATGCCCATTATTTTCACACTCTGGAATGAATTTGCTACGATCGAAGTTGCAGAGCTAGCAAAAGGTATCAATGCAAGAAATGTGTTCATTGCAATGCGGGTTACGGTGACTACATTTCACGGTACCTTTATCTTTACTTATTCTTTTGTTGTGCATATTTGGCGAGAAAGTCACGCTAGTTGCAACTTTTCACAGGAATTTCTCTCTCCACCGTGCAACCAAGCTCAGCATTCATAAATCCACCAGCAACTGAGGCTAATCAGCTCAAGCAATGGTAGAATTAAATACTCCTACATTTACTAGAAAAAAAAATAATAACATGTTCCATGCACTGTTTTACACATGTACATAGAAAATAGATTGGAGATTGCAGAGCTCATTGCGGCTAAAGCATACAAAAACATGAGTACATTGCTTCCAAGGCCACCTCCAGACAATGTAATTAGTATTGAGTCATTCTTCAATCTGGTAACGATGTAAGTTCCATATCTTCAAGTAAATAGCTTAAATAGTTTTGACATACTGCTATACATTACTCATGGTGCCTAATATGAAAAAACACATGTTTTATATGACAGGTGAAAGCTGCATGGATTAAAGGGCGCATAAATTTGGGCTTCGACAACCAGTCCCTTTAGTTCACCTGCGCAAACTGTCAAAAAAAAAAATTGACCTGAAAATAGGTTCTGGTATAAAGTGCAGTGCGTGCAACCAGCACAGCGAAATTGTGGCAACGTAATTTAAATTAACCTGCNGAGTGTGCAAAAAAAAAAAAAGAAAAAAAATGCCATCATTTAACATCTAAAACTAACATTAGAGGAAGAATTCCCCTCGACATTGAAGATGAAACAAACACAATTGCAATAGTTGTATATGGAAAAGATGTTGAAGAGCTTTGCGGACATACTGCAGCTGAATTAAAAGATGCTGAGAACTACGTATTGGGTACATATTTCTTTTCACTTAGAATTGTTTATGCACATTTAAAAAAAACAAAAAAATAACAGTGGTAAGCTTACTTCACTCCCATTGCATTTTAACATAGTCTTCAAATACTAAGAGTACATTACATTTTTTCCACACATGTTGTGTGCTATGTGAGGTTATACCAAACAAACGCCACAAACTACTCAAGTGTAAAGCTCTACATGGACGAAATTGAAGGGCTTTTGGATGAGGATGAGGTTGAGGATTCAGCTGAACAGGTAGCTGAGCAGATAGCTGAGCAGGTAGTTGAACTGGTAAGTGTCGTGTTCAAATATTAACAATAATATTTAATAAATGTCAATCAGAGCATTGGGCGTACATGAAATTAACTGCTGCTAAATGGTTTTTACTTTAACAATAGGGTGCTTCTGATGTACAACTATTCACACCAAGCACTAAGGCTTGTCTCGAAGAAATTGAAAGCGCTACTATGAACACAGCTGTACAAGATGTCGTTAAGCCACCAACAGCGAGCGCCTTGAAATTTGGAAACATAAGTGCAGCTTCATCTTTCAATCCTCCGCCAAACATAGCTGATGAAGATGCATCCTACAGCAATGATGATAGTGCGGCTGCTTCAGCCGCACCCTCTAGTACAATGAAAAAACCTCGCACCTAGCCTCACCTGTTGTGGCTGTAGAACTCTGTACATACTTTTGATTAGGCCACGCTAATGTTGTATGGTGATCTATGTTTTGTGCGCCGCTATGACGTCTATCTTTTGAACTATATATGTACCTCTCTGATAGATGTACATCTGAAACTGCTTTTGTGAACATTCTAGACTACTGGATACAACTCAGAATGCCACAATATTAGAGTTGTACTAGAATGTACTGCATCTTTGGCCATAAAATATGTATTTCGATGGCGTTTTGTTAGGTCATTTGCTTGCCCAACCTTTATTAATGAAATATGGTTGCTTTCTTTTGCTTTAATGTGCATGCTCATATTTTATGATTAAAAAAAAATATGTGTCGTATCCGACCCAAATTATACAAACTATATTATTTGTGAAACAATAATTAGAAACCAATACAGTAATATTTATTTGTCCAAATTAACTTAAAAATAATTTATTATATATTTGCATAAGCAATTAACAATCACAGGGTTATAATGACTTCTCTTGATTTTTAATTTTTAAACAAAATATAGGAACAAAAAAAAGTAAAAATTTAGCATAACTACTGTTAGAACATTTAGTTACCGAACAAATCAAACTCCAACAAGAATGATCCAAAATCATTTATATCATTCGAATCACACATTATATAAGTCTAATAAACCAGCTGTAGATTCGATAAAATGGACAAAAACTATTTACCAACTAAGATACATAACACAAAGGTAAAAAATAAGACCACAATTACAACAATATAGAAATTGTCATATAAAACACCAACATTCTCAAACCAAAGAATATGAAACTCTACCCAGCTCTGCAAAATTACATAATACAAACGTAAATGTTGCCATTCAGAACATAAATTACGTTTCAACATTCAAAACTATCATTTCGTTTGCATGTAACCATCCCTTATAAAATACTCAGCTTCATTTCAACAATTTCATGACAATGAAAATGATAATTTAAATACTAGACAAATTTTCTACCCATAAATGAATAAATGTAACGACTAGATATCGGTCGGCTGTGCGTGCACAGCCGGTAAACAACTAGTTCTTGTTGCTAAAATAGGGTACATGGCTGGAATGGAATTGTGTTGCTAAAATTCTTGTTAAAATGGGTTTTCATGGCAAATTTGTGGGTTAGCTTATGGAGTGCATCTCTTCTGTCTCTTTCTCTTTTAATCTTAATGGGGAAAACTGTGGCTTTGTCACTGCATCTAGGGGAATCAAGCAGGGTGACCCTATTTCTCCTTATATTTTCATTATTGTGGATGAAATTCTCTCTAGATGGATCAAAGCTGAAATTAGAAGCAGTGAATTTTGTGGGCTTAAAATTTCCAAGAATGGTCCTGCTATATCCCACCTCTTATTTGCTGATGATTCCTTGGTTTTTAGTGTGGCTAATAGAGCATCTGCAGAATTAATTTTAAAGATTTTGCAGAGATATCAAAACTTTACAGGATAGAAGGTGAACTTGAGGAAATCTTCAATCTTCTTTACCAAGAATGTGCAATGGAGTTGCAGGAGGATATCCATTCCATTCTTGAAGGCATAACAGTTCACACTTCATCGAGGTATTTGGGACTGCCATTAGGAAATGGAAAATCCAAAGAGGAGACATTTCAATATGTGGTGGATACTGTGCATAGAAGGATTAGCAGTTGAAAAAATAAAATTCTTTCTTGGGCTGGGAAGGAAATCTTAGTCAAAGCAATTTTGAATGCACTTTCCATTTTTACAATGTCTTGTTTTTCCTTACCTGTGGGGGTATGCAATGAATTAAGCAGGTTGTGTGCCAAGTTTCGTGGAGTAAAGGAGAGGAGCAACAGACGAACATTCATTGGAAAAAAATGGCAGATGATCACTCTACCTAAGCAATGTGGGGGATTGGGGTTCCATGATTTCAGACTCTTTAATGATGTCTTAATCCTGAAGCAAATTTGGAGGATAGCTACTATGCCAAACCTTTTGGTAAGTAAAGTGCTGAAGATGAAGTATTTTCCTGATTGTTCTATTTTTGAAGCTTATAAAAGCAACAACTCTTCTTGGCTTTGGTGTACTTGGATAAGAATTAAAGAGATATATAAAAGATGTTTTAAGATTGAGGTGAGAGATGGGCTATCTACCAAAGTGTGGCAGGATCCTTGGCTCGTTACAACTCTATCAGGTACACCAATCAGAAGACAGAGTGGGGAGCCAATAGTGAATGAAGTCTGGGAACTGCAGGAAGCTGGTGGCAGGAGATGGAATCAAACATTGCTTAGGGAGTTGTTCAGTGATGAGAACAGGGCAGCTATATTGAACATCAATACCCTCAATCCACATCAGAAGAAGGTGGATATGAAAATGGGATGCTAAGGGAGTGTTCTCTGTTGCTAATGCATATTCACACTTGATCCAGGAGAAATTCAAGAAAATGGATGTAGCAGAGGGGAGTGATTATTCAGAGAGGCTTGCAAAAATTAGGAACATGAGTTGGCAATTGAGAATAAGAGGTAAAGTTAAACATTCAACAATATTTTGCCTGATTGTATCAATTTGATGAAGAGATGTATGGAGTTAGACTGCATTTGCTGTTGCTGTGGGCAGGAGGCAGAAACAACTGAGCACATACTATTTAAATGCCTAAGAGCAAAGCTGGTTTGGAAATTATCACCGGTAAGCTGGGATGGTTTACAAGATTCAATTGGCTGTCAGATAATGGCAGGAATTTGTGCACTGTAATGGCATGTAGCAGGCCAAGGTTGAAGATAAAGTCTAGGTCCAACAGTGGTCTTTGTTTTCAACCTCCGGGATGTTGCCGATTATTTTCTAGTTATTATTTTGTTATTGCTTTCGGCCTAAGGGTTCCAGTATGTGCACTGCCCTTATGGTGCTCATTTTGTTGGTAATTTAGGTCGCCGTGTGGTGCGATTCTCCTAGGGTTTTGCCTTGTATTAGCCAGTTGACTTGTCGATTTGTACATTTGTATATTTTGTGCTATAAATTTCTGTCGTTGTGAAGAGAAAAAAAAAAACAAAAAAAACAAAAAAAAAACAATATTCTCTACGGATAATTTATAAGCCTACACTTGGAATTGGCTCAATCTAGGGAAAGGGGGGAAATGAATTCTTAAGGATAGAAGGTATTGCGAAGAGATCCAGCTCACTGGCAGCTCTGGAAATTGTGAGAGTTTAATTTATCAGAAATTCGATGGATATAAATACCCAAACTTTAGTGGACTGAACAGTATCTATTCTACACTGCCTGACGCCTGTCAACGCATATCAGCATCGGTTTCTGCTTGGCGCCCGCCAAATAAAAGCAAAATACAGCAGCATAATACACATAACCATTAACCAATATGTAATTTACTGGGGGGGAAAAAAAAAAAAAGGAAGAAGAAGAAGAAGTGCAAATTTGAAGGGCAAAATCTATTATGAACATTCACTAGGTGAATCAACTTCAATGTACTTTTTGCATCATAGTGTAAGAATCATGAAGGGAAAAGATCATTACACAGTTCCAACACTAAGTTTACTCTCTTCAGTTAGGAGAAATATTCACTGAAGTCTTTCCTGCTTGATTGTATTCTCTCTTAGCATACAAAACAATGCTTCCCCAAGACAAAATCCTCCCCTCAAATATTACAAAACGGAAAATCACAAGGAACTTGTACCTTTTTCATTTTCACAATATATTTTTGGGTCACCAGTAGCTTCTTGAGGCAGAATTGACTAAATCTAGAGCACTCGACTGAAATACATGTTCATGGCATGTCTCGAAGGGTTGAATCCAGTCAGAATTACTGCAGAACAAGGATTATTTCATTCAACAATCTATAAATTAATAAAATAGATGGCATGTGTTAAAAAGTATTAAGTACTTACATATAGGGGAAAGAACAAAAACAACACCAATTGGATACAGGAACAAAGTGGTCCTCTCCAGGAATGGTAATACTGCAACATATGAGCAAGATGATTAATTGCAATAGATAAAAGAACATTCCAAACTATATAATTTTTTTAAAGAATATGGACGAAAGCAAGCTGCATCAACCAAAACTTGTCTCACCATCATAACCCAAATAATTTAGGTAATGATAGTAGGAAGCAGCCACCATGAATAGTAGATTCGACAGCAATTCAGGAACAAAACCATGGGCGACCAGCAGAGGTGAAAGAAAATAATGAACGACTGCAAGAGAACAAATACATTAGCAACTATCCTTCTCATTTTTTGGCGAGAAAACACATTTTCGGTAGGCTCACCATAAAGCAGTACAAACACTGGGAAGAAAGAGTTGCAGTGTACGTCAAAGGCATACAACCTTCAGAAAGTTGAAAAGTAACAAAATTTAGCGAAACAGCGGGTATGCAATTTAAAGCAACAGTATATCAGATTTCACGATTTTTTTTTCCTTGATAAAAAACAAACTAAAATTTGAAGCTGCAAACAGTAGAGAAACTTGCCATTCCACCCGTTGCTCCACCACATGGCTGTTCAAAGCTTCTTCTCGGAGATAATTGTTAGTGAAAAACCTGAAGAAAAAATTGCATTGGACAATTATCAATGATAGCTCTGTAACATCTATAAGCAAACACAATATGCGGCTGCTAAATCTCTTAGCATGATAGACTATTTGCATAGATTTTAAATAGCTAAAACCTTTTGTCTGGTGAGAATCAGGGTAGCTCAGAACAAAGTAATGGCAGAAGAATCGCATAAAGCATAATCAATAACATGAATCTAGACTGACAGAAATGCAGAAAAAATCATAATACGGCCTCATCTAATTAAAATAACTGTCTGATCCATGTTCTTGATTGTCCTTACCAACAGCAAGTAGCCAAAATTGCGCCTGTTACAAGAAAATGGAATAGCAATACAGAAATAACAACAAAAACTGCATGTCCTGCACTGTGATCATACCTGAAACCAATAAAAGACAACAATGAGAGCATAACAGATGACAAACTATACGTGACAACACTCTGAAATAATGAATCGAGGAAGGGGCAGGGGGAGTCAACGAGCTACCAGCAGAAGTATAATAAGATAAAAATTTCATAAAATATGAATTAGTTGGTGGAAAAAGGATTCATTTATTAGGTTACTTAAACTATCCATAACGAGATCCATGTGAAGATAATGAAAGCAGCCACAACAGGAAGAGGTCAGAGCGTAGAAGATGCTTACGCAGCACAATAAGCAATTGTGGAAACTGACAAAAGAAGACTACATATCACAACAAATGCAGGATCATCGCGCGCCCATTGATTCTTTGTTTCTGCACAGAGAGAGAGAGAGAGAGAGAGAGAGAGAGAGAGAGAGTTAGTTTATTCTGACTATAAATAAGACATAATGTTCATTCACCAAGTAAGCTGCATGTGTGGATAATGGTACTGTATTCCTAGACAATGAGTAACTGGACAACATGTTGATGATGTACTGTAGTAACGATGACGAAACAGCATTACACTATGCTTATGATGTTATAAGAATAAAGACTCTTTGGAGTGACAAAACTAATCCACATGAAACATCCACAATGTCTCCACATTATAGATCCGATTTTCTTCTATGTGGAGCTCTCATGACATTGAATCATTGCATCACATCATAGGCGGTCAGAAGTATGTGGTGTCCCATTTATGGTTTAAGAAATCGGTAATTTTGGAGAAGGAAAAGAGAGAGTTTCCCTTACAGGAAAACCAAACTTCGGAAAATCAGACAATGGAAATGAGAAAAACGGAATGAATGGGGTTATACCAAAAAATGCTGGAGCAAATAAAACATGAAGTGAAAAAAAAAAAAAAAAAAGGTAAAAATTTATATCCATAATGGGGACAAATCACTCGTATGCATATAGAGCAAAAGAAAGGATTCTTACGTTTGTGATATTTGGTATGCTGATATCTGCAAGCATCGTTCATGTTGACATGCAAAATATGGAAACATGTTATTAGAAGCCAAGATAATACATATCAAAGTACTCCATCCAGTCATCTGATTTTATATTAGTCGTAGAAGGGTAATATTTGTGAGAATATAACATGATGCAATATCATGAAACCAAAGCAGATTCTTAAATGCATGTAACACGAGGATGCCTAGTTGCCTACTACAAGTTGCCAATCCCATAGTGAAATTTTAGTCAGTAGACTTGATCCATGCCGTAACATCACTAAATTTCTAAAAACACATGAGTAGGAACAAAACATAGGCTTAAATGATTGTCCAACAACCAGGACCAAAGAGGAAGGAAATGCATCTCTCCTAAGTACTCTAGGAACATTGAATGGCGTTGTATTTTATGTTATTATAAATAAATATATTAACCTTGAACACCGCAAGCATTTATAATATGGATGATTATGATACGACAAGAGATATGGATACCCACACTACTTTAGGCGACGTGCATAGGTGAAGCATTTGCCAGAAAGTATATTCAACATCCATTTGTTGCCACTGCATTGAACCACAGAGAACAAACTTGTGTCACTAAGGGAAGCAGATCCACAGACTTATAAATGGAAAGAAACAACAGCCCCGTGGCCGTTTTCAATTATGCTTCCTAAAGTCATGCTAAGTGTGAAAAGAAATATAACAATGATAGCGAAGTTTTCACTTACGAGTAAAATAAAATAGGAAAAAAGAAAGCCCAATTAAAAAATAAAAACTGAAGAATGGAACATTGTTGTTGTAGGGAATGTGAAACAGTGAAAACAATATCATTCAACTAAATTTGGCTATTAGCCACATCAAAGCTTCATAAGGCATCATAAATACAAGTGCCACAAAGCATAATTGAATGAAGACAATCAAACCAAGATCCATTATCAAGTTACTACGATCAGTTCAACCTAGGTATAAGTATAATAGCCCAAGTTCTCAGACATGCATATTGCAGTATAGGATGTCAGCCTATAGCTCACATCAAACTGAAATCTAACTTTCTCAAAAATCGAGCTGCCTTGAGCTCAATTTAAAAGAAAAAAAAAATAAAAATAAAAATAAAAAAAAAACTACTTCAAACAACTAATTCATATAACCCAAAAATAAGCTCATGAAATCCACATGAAAATGAGACGAACACCTTATCCCCACTTATCCTAACTAATTCACCACATTTCACCAAAAAAAAAAAGAACAATCAACAACGCAATCAATCCACAAAACTCCACATCACAACCTAATGAAAACATCAATTGGGATGCATCTGACTACGATTTAAAACCAGGGATGAAGATCAGATCTGCAATCTGAACAGTAATTCAAACACTAAAACATGCGCGAGATAATTCTTCTGGAAAAGGGGAGATACGAACAGAACCTTGACTATTCTGCGGAGGTAATGAGGTAGGAAAGAATTGGGCCGGGCATGGGAGCCCGAACGGGCCTTAAATGATGAAGATGTGGGCAGCATGTTCTTCCTCCTCGTCCTACAGGAAATTTCTTCTGTTCCCGATCGATTTGTAATGCAAAATGTTGATCTTGTTAGACGGTGTTGCGATTTGAAGATCTCTTTCTCATTTCAAGTAGTATTTTGTTTGTTCCCTCTACTCAAATGTGTCTGCCTTCTGGTACACAGTAAATGCGTAGGCTTTTTCCTTATTGGGCTTTAATTCAGTGTAAAGCTATATTACTTGGCCCACTTGAGTTGGACTTATTGCTTGGGCTTAAGGACGCATGGACGAATATAACTTAAAGCAATTCCATTTGGACGAGGCACAATCTTTTATCACATAATTGTCCCCTATTTAAAATTTCTAATACAAAAAAACGAGTTATCTCTATCTGAAAACAAAAATTGCAGCTGCAATCCTTCACAATACCACAAATTAAAGGAACACAAAAATTATGGAACCACAAATAAACAAAATAAAAACCATTCATATACCTATAACTATGAAAAAAAATTAATATATATATATATATATATATAAACCCATCAAAAAACAACAAAACCACAAAATAAACAAAAAAAAATACATTCATATAATCAATAGAAATGGCAATATTCAAACCAGATATACAAACATTCATAAATAAAACTAAACTACAAGTAAACCCATAATTTTTTATACAAAATTCTCCATAAAATTAAACTACAAATAAACCTACAAATTGTTATCTTTGGACCACGCGGGCTTCTTATCCGAACCCTCAGGGTCGAACGCAACATGTGCCGGCACGCGAGGCACAGGGATTCTGAATCTCGGACTCTTTTTGTGCCTCGTGGTGGAGATCAACTGCTAAAGGTGACTCTTTGGTGGAGATGCGAGGGGGCGACCAAACCCTATAGTGATCCGACGGTAGATTCTGATTGAAGGCAAGATCTGTCTTGTTCGCAGAGATGTGGTTGCGGCAGATCTTGTTCGGCTTGCTTAGTTTATCCTTTGGATTTGAGTTTTTTAGGATCTTGGATTTTGGAAGAGAAATAGTGGATGAAAATTTTAGAGATTGTCGAAAGAGTGAAGGAACATTCAAAAGAAATGAGGAGTGATAAGAATGATTAATTGGTGCGGTTGATATATTTTGTGATATAATATGGAATAAAAGTCTACAGGAGTAGTTTAGGGGAATAAAAAACAATGATTCGTTTTATGGGAAATAAAATCAAAAGGAACCGTCTGACGGGTAATTATCTCTATTGCTTGGTTCTGTAATATCAATCAGACCGCGGTGCTTCGAGCATCTCGTTCAGCATTGTGAGATGTGCAAAATAGGGAAAGAAAATCAAGAAATTGTGTCTCTAAATATTAATATTAATTTATATTTATATCTATGATTGAATTCAAGTGAAAATGGTGCTCAATAAAAGAAATAAGAATAAACTGTAGTCATTAGATCGGATGATCTAATGACTAAAAAAAAAACAAAAATTATACATTCATTAAGAGTAATTTGAACATTACTATTACACATCACTACCCACATCATCATGCCACATCACGCACACACACACAAACCCAAACAAAAACACACGCACACACACTCTGTACACACACTACTCACACACTCACCCACACAAACAAGATTCGCACTAAAAATTTTTTTAAATCTTTCCGAAAAGTCATGCGAACTTAATCGTTAAAAATTATTTTATCCATATTTATCTATCTACAAATCTCATATTTCAGGTCACAGCTAAAAATTCGTATTTATTTTATAAAGAATGTTAATTTTGAAAATTAATGTTTATATTTTAGATTTTTTAACTTAATTGATGATTTTTTTTTTCCATATTCATCTAACTATAAAATCTTTTACAGTTTAGAAAGAATCTTATATTATGCGTATTCTTGATACCAATATTTTTTGTACAAATTTATTTTTCATCTCATATTCAAATTAAAAATTTAATGTGAATCTTAAATATTTCATATTTATTAAATATATATGTATATATTTTAAAAAAAAAAAACATGACGATTCATATAGTTAATTATATCATATATCATGTGTTTGATGTTTTTGGTTTGGTTGGGGACACTTAATGTATTCAAATAAATAATATATAATTTTTTATATTTTGTTTTTCTTTTCTTGCAATAATATAATATATTAATTAAGAACGTGTTGTGCCTAAGTGGCAGTCTCGCATGCTTCAGGATTCTATGTAGCAAAATTACATGCTTCGTTATTAGACTTGGGTATATTTTAATTTATTTTCAATCAAAAAATAATTAGGTCCGGATTATAAATATGTTGATTATTTATGGTTATGTTACATGTATTAATTGTATTTTAATATTATTTTTTATTATAACCATTGAATTGTAAATATATTTTTAAAGTTATTAACTTTTATATTTTTTATCAGTTTTACATATTTAATATATCAGATTAACCATCTCTTGATGAGCTTCGATTTAACATCCATATTGTATGCATAAATAATTAAATTATATTTATCTTTATAACAATAATAAAATTGTTTTTTAATATTAATTAGAAAAATAAATTTATTTATCAATTAATATGTTTATATTTCAAGTAGTTATGTGATATAAAATAAAAACTACTATAATATAACACATGTAAGTCGGACAAGTAACAAATATCATTCTAAAATATATTATAATATATATTTTTTGGGGAAAAAAACTTTTATCCATCTGAACTATCGCGATTTTGGCGGATCACCATATAGACTTTTTTTTATTGCAAACCACCATCTAAACTATACGAATTTGTCAATTTGCCAACTGAAACCCGAATTAAAGTGGTTTTTGTAAAAAAAACAGTTGTTTTGAAAGGATTGTTTACTGATGCTATGCAAAATTCAGAGTTAATTGGTCTGAAACTGTCTCAGAATGGCCCAGCTCTATCCCATCTTCTATTTGCTGATGATGCACTTTTCTTTTGCAAAGCTGAAACTAATCAGGCCATGGTTTTGATGAGATTACTTGATAGATACAGATTGTTCACTGGTCAGAGGGTGAACCTGCAGAAATCCTCTATATTTTTCAGCAAAAACTCTTCTCATACTCTTCAAACTCAAATCTGTTCTACCTTGCAAGGTATTCAACTTCACTCTTCCACTAGATATCTTGGACTGCCACTTGGTATTGGGAAATCAAAAAAGGAAACTTTCTCTTATGTTCTTGATTCTGTCAAAGCTAAACTGGGGAGCTGGAAAAATAAAATGTTAACTGCAGCAGGGAAAGAAGTTCTTATTAAAGCTGTAATTGACTCCTTGCCAGTGTTTACAATGTCTTGCTTTCAGCTGCCTATCTCCATCTGCAAGGCTATCTCCAGCCTTAGTGCTCAGTTCTGGTGGAGTAAAGGGGTATTACAAGAGAAAGGCATTCGTTGGAAGGCCTGGAAATATATTGCACTTCCTAAGGCAGAGGGTGGAATGGGATTCAAGACAGTGAGACTTTTCAATCAAGCCCTGATATGCAAACAGTTATGGAGGCTGGTACCTGAACCTGATCTTCTCATTTCAAAGGTGTTGAAGGCTAGATATTTTCCTGACTGCAGCATTTTTGATGTGACTAAAACACAAAAAGGCTCTTGGCTTTGGCACACCTGGATTAATTGCTTACCTATTCTTGCAAAAGGACTGAGGACAGAGATTAGAAATGGTGCCCACACTAAAATAGAAGACTTCAACTGGATCCCTTCTCTCCAAGCACAAAGACCACATCTGTTGAACATTGCTAGAGGACATATCACCTGGGTAAAGGAGCTTATGTTGGACAATGGATCAGGGTGGAACACATGGCTGGTTCAGCAGCTATTTAGCCCAGCAGAAAGCCAAGCAATACTCAATATACAAACTCTCAACCCAAGACAGAATGACAGATTTTATTGGGCACTGGATAAGAAAGGTCAGTTTTCTGTCTCCTCTACTTACTCATATCTTATTCAGCAGCATTTACTATTTCTGGATATCCCTGGCACAAGTATAGACATATCAGCAAGTAAAGCAGCAAGGCTTAGAGGTTGGGGTTTAAAGGTTAAAGGCACAATCAAGCAGTTCATATAGAGGTGTTACTCTGGGTTGCTGCCTGTCTGTACAAATTTGCTTAAGAAGGGCCTTCAGGTGGATCCATTATGTCCTTGCTGTGGTGAAGCTCCAGAGACAATTGAGCATGTGTTGTTTCTCTGTCAAAGGGCTCAATCACTGTGGAGAACAGGTCCTATAAACTGGAATATGGCTCACATGGAGAATTGCTCATTCAAGGCTTGGTGGTGGGATATTTGCTCAATAAATACAACTCCAGTTGTCGAGGACAGAATTCAATTATCGACATATCTATTGTGGTGGCTCTGAAAATCGCGTAACCTGTGGCTCTTTGAGAAGACACTTATGCCGATTCCGGTTGTGATCAAGATGGCACATAGAGAATGGCTTGAATTCTCCACTTTGCAGTCTTAATGTATTTTCTGTTTTTTGTTATTTTGCTGTTTGTTTGTGTTTTCCTTGGTCTTTTAGTCTTAGTTTTGAGGTCGCTATATTGCTAGGCAGTTGATGCAGTGGTTAATATGGCTTCTCTCGATTGTACATTGTTTTGTTGTTTGAGTTCTAGGCCGCTTGTATGCGTGTCCTCCCAGTCTTTTATTCAGGCTTTGTAGCNTGTCAAATTCTTACTCATTGCACATGAGACGAACAGCAGCGCCGCCGTGGAATCATCGGCATCTTCCAGAGCCTCCTCAATTTTCGGCAACTCGGCATGCTCACCATCATCATGTCCGTCCCCGCCCCGGCCTCGTCTCCGCCGCCGACCTCGCCTCGGTTGCCTTCTCCCTAATCTACAACTGCTTCATATACAGATCTGCGTTCACACCTACCTCTCCCCACTCGGATCTGCCGGGAAAACCCTTCCCTCTACTGGTTAGGGTTTTGTTCGCTGGCGGATTCTCTCTACTGGTTAGTGTTTTTGTGCTAGCTTTTTACAATTCACGGAGAATCTTATGATTGTGGATTGGTTGAGGAGCGCGGCAGCGGGTGATGTGGATTGGCTGCGAGAAAAAGCGATGGACACGCCTTGATATGCACACACTCTCGACGCACCCCGTTGGTTGCCGCCGCGGACGGAAGGCGGCGGCGGAGGCCGCCGGCCATGTTTCTAATGAGCATGAAGGATGCAAATGAGAGCCCGAATGGGGCCGTGGATGATGTTGGGATATCGAGCATCCCAAAGCCGGCCAAAAAAATGGCCAGGTATCGCCCAGAGAGGTAGGGGTCCTCTTCAGTGATTAATAAGAGGTAAAATATAACCGTTATTCAATTATTTGACCGGTTGTGTCGGCGACTCCGGCGGCGGGGCCAAGCATGTCTTCGACGGCTATGAGAAGTTGTGGAGAGTCCGCTCCCGAGCATGAGGACGAAATTTTAGTTGCACGAGATGTCGGCAAGGAGGGCCCGTGTGGGCCCCTGGATGACAGTGTTGGAGATGTCGAGCATCCAAAAGCCGACAAAGAAAATGACAGTGGCAACCGGGCTTGGAGACGTCGGCGGCGATGGATTGGTTGGCGACGATCTGTTTCTTTTTCTTTTATTTATTTATTTTTTTTTTTCCGGCAACATTGGCTTTTTCTGGCAAAAACTTGAATTTTATATCCGGTTTAGAGGGCAAGATGAAAGAAGGTAGTAACTAGATCACAAACGTGCTATACCAATATCTCGATTATGTATCCTGGCATGCCAAGTTACATCTCAAGCCTGATCTTAATCTGAATGACTTCTGTATGCCCCCGTTGTATATACGAACATGGTACGCACCTAACGTTGATGAATCTACGTTTAGGTTTGGTATTGTCTTCCTTATATTGCACTGGGCTATACAGCTAAATCATCTTTCAATAAAATGTTTACCACATTTTGCTGAGAGTGATTTACTCATTCAGTGTGAGATCTCCTTTGGAAGGATCTTATAAATCCTTTAAAGTTCATCAATGTGCAAGTACCGATAGAGTTTCAAGAAAGGCGCTCCTATAGAGCCCTCGACTATGTATCGGACATATGGCAGGTTGGGAAAGCGCGCTTGGAAAAAAAAAGACGTGAGGTAAATGTAAATCAATCTATCTCGTATTGCCCAATCTGGATGACTTCAGGCAACAATACGCGATCACTTACCCACATGATAGACAGCTCCACATCATTAGACCAAAGATGCTTTAACATCGCAAGGTATCTTCGAGCTCGACTTTTATGCCGAGACGAAGACACCGGTGACGAAGCTGCCTTAAAACCGAACCCTGCAATCCGTAACATGGTTGATACTCTTAACGGACGCTTAAGCGTTCCCATATAATTGTACCAACCAAGGGGATCTTTGGACGCGGCTATGGTTGTTTGTCAAAAAAAAATAGTTGATATGGTAAACCGCAAAAATCACGATACTTTGGATGGTAAAAAGTAATTTATCCTATTTTTTGTAAAAAAGTGAATAAAATTTAAAATAATTTCTCTCATTAATTTTAAAAGTTAAGAATAATTTTTTAATAAACACCCATGTAACACACGGGCATTGTACTAGTGAGATGTTAAATATAAATAATTATGTTTAAAATAAAATTTTAAAAAAGATTTTAAGTAACAAGTTCTCAAATGCACACGGTATATTACAAGTCCATCTTTATTTAAACGCAACGCCATAAAGGCAGAGTTAGGCGTTAGCTGAGGCCTGAGGGACACACAGATATTCTATGGAGATAGCAAAACCAGAGGGCCACAATTGAGTATTTGACGTACTGCGCAATAAAAGCAGAGTTAGGCGTTAGCTGAGGCCTGAAGGGACACAATTGAGTAATTGACGTACTTGTGTTGTGTATCTACTGCATCCCCCACAAATCTCCATCTCTTGCATACACACATTTGCAGGTCATCTTGTCTCATCCTCAAACTCTAGACGGTTAAAAAAAAAAACAAAGCCGATCAATGGAGCTGCCTAAGAATTCGGCCCAGGACCACGAAACCCAGCCCGCGAAACAGATTTTCATCTTATCGGGTCAGAGCAACATGGCGGGCCGCGGCGGCGTCGACAAGCACAAGCACTGGGACGGCGTCGTTCCACCAGAATGCTCCGCCGACGCCCACAAAATCTCCCGGCTCAACGCGCACCTCCAGTGGGAGGCGGCGCGCGAGCCTCTCCACCGCGACATCGACACCAAGAAGACGTGCGGCGTGGGGCCGGGGATGTCGTTCGCCAACGCGGTGAAGGAGCGCGTGGGCGCGGTCGGCCTCGTGCCGTGCGCCGTTGGCGGGACCGCGATCAGGGAGTGGGCGCGCGGCGCCGATCTGTACGAGAACATGGTGAAGCGCGCCAAGGCGGCCGCGGCCGCCGGCGGAGAAATCAAGGGGCTGCTGTGGTACCAGGGGGAGAGCGATACGGCGTCGCAGCAGGATGTGGATTCGTACAAAGACAATGTTGAAGCCCTAATTCACAATGTGCGCGCAGATCTGGATTTGCCATCGCTACCCTTTATTCAGGTGAGGAAAAAAAAAAATCAATTGGGCTGAAATTATCATTTTAACCATTGATTGAATGCGTATAGTTTATTATGTTAGGAAAATCAAATTCTGTACCCCAAATCAACAGTACTAGTTTTGATTTGGATTTCGACCAGAAATTATGGGTAATTAGGTTGAGAAGAAAGAAAGATATATAATTCCAGTTCATGTTAATTGGTTAGGTTGCAATTGCATCTGGAGACGAAAAATATCTTGAGAAGATAAGGGAAATACAAAAGGGAATTGATCTGCCAGATGTTGTGTGTGTAGACGCTAAGGGGCTGCCGCTGAAAGAAGATAATCTTCATCTTACTACCGAAGCTCAGGTTGAGTTGGGCCGTAAGCTGGCGGACGCTTATCTAACTCATTTTCTGGGCTAATATAAAATTTGGTCTGCTTCACTTGGAAAGCTCATATCATTCAGGGATATGAATGAGCTTTGAATTGTGATCTAGAGACTATGTGCTCAGCCACAAGTCTGTGAGCTTGCATAATATGTGCTTGAGAATTCCACTATTACTTTTTCTTTTGTTTTCAGCTGGTATAAATAAATTTTACTAATGCGGCAAATCATGCATTGGGTGCACAATAACATGGCAAATGTATTTGTATGGAACTGTAATAGTGTATGATTTCAATTGTTGTGTGTTACTGCTACTCATTGTACTACTCTCTTACAAGTTACAAGTTGTAGTTGAGATATCCAAGCCTAACTTTTCACAGTTAATATTTAATACGCATCAAATGATTAATTTTAATCTTTTTACATCATGGACGAAAAATATTGCGGCATAATGGAGGGATCATGGATGGTATTTCCATCATATTTGGACAATTGTGGACTACTAACCATGGAGTACATATAAGAGAAAATTACTCCCTCAACGAGAGCTTCCAAATTGGTGGGAGTGGTGGGAGGACATTTGTGCTAGCTCTCTTTTCATAAAGATGAAGGATAGAGTGATTCTATCTTTATGCCTCATGTGGAGAATTTGGAAAGCTAGGAGCAACACAATTTTCATAAATGAACCATTTAGTGAGGAGAGAGTTGTTGCAGGAGCAAGGAAGGATTGGCTGGAACTTTCTCAAATTATAGTTGATGATCAGAACCAGCTGGAGGAGGAATCATACACTGATTACAAAAGGAGACAATTTTCCAAGAAGGTAGGACTTGTAAATTTACAGGTCAGTGCATTGTGTCTTCCTGGAGGAAAGGTGAAGTGGAACTGTTGTGCAGACAGGGATGGGAAAAAGCTTGAAGAATGGCAGAAAGAAGAAGCTGGGGTAGAGGATATTCAGACTGATGTATTGCTTGCAGTAAGAGGAGCTTTGATGGGAGCTTCTAGAAGAAAATGGCAAAACATTCTGTGCAGTATTTCTGAATATGACACTTTACTACAGCTACAGGCCAAAAAGGAAATTAAATCTTCTTTATCTGGGGTGTTTGAGGATATTTTGCAGCTGTCCAAGAGCTTTGATTTCTGTATATTTGTTGCTACTATCTAGTTTTATATTTTGTTTGACCATGTTTGGTCTTCTAGGGCTTACCTGTTGTGTATGTCCGTTTCCTGCCTGCTCTAGCTTATGGACAGATAGGTTTGAACTCAGTTGATGATCGGCTGTATTTGAGTTGAGTTATATTATAATTTATCTTTGGAAAAAAAAAAACGAGAGCTTCCAAATTTTATTTTAAAAAAACGAAATAGGAAAAACTTCCATACAATTACGAGATAAGAACGATTGTTCGGATAAGATAGATTAGCATCAGATATGGAACTAATGGAATCTTGCCCGAATTTTCTTCCTCCGAATTTATTTTTTCACCTTCCCAATTTCTCAACCCATATCGGCCAGAAAAATATGATCACCGAGAAAACTCCCTCGAGTTCGCGCAGCCGCAAGATGAAACTCCCCTTCAAATGGAAATTGGTGCAAAAATTCCAAAAAATCTGATTCAAATGTCCCTCTAATCAATAAGCTGAGGAAAGCATTCAACGGCATATCCAACAGGACGATGATTCCCAGTCCCGATTAGAAGGAAGTGCCAAATAAAATGACTCAAGGAATTTAGAGTCAAAAAGGTAAAGAATCCACCAAAAAGAGAGTCAATCGAAGGAAAGATAGAAAAAGAAGGTTGGCGATATTAACCGAGACCAACTTTCGGTTGCACCCCTAAACCCCCCGAATTCTGAATCGAAGAGGTTAAAGTGACGGCGGCCACCACTATCTGGCAGATGACGGAGGAGGAAAAGCGTAGTTTCCAATTTGTGCACACTGCCATGAAAGAGTATAGTAAACATATACACAAATTATACGTTAGTTATACACAATATATATTGTGCTGGTTTTTATACAAGTACACATGTGTTATTTATCTTATGTATAATTATATTCGATTTGGATTTTGTAGTCATTCAAAATTGTGTATTATGTTTTATTTCGTTTAAATGTTGTTTACATGTTGTTTATCTTATATATAACTATATGGTTAATATTAGAGAACTGTCAGATCATGTTTATCTGACGTATATATACAATATATCTTCTGAAGTTTTAATCAGCGGATATTTTTCGACGAACAAACACGAAATTATCTTACTGATTCTGATTGGAGGTATTTTTCAGATGAGATTTTTCAGCAGGGGAGACGATTCTTTTTTTCGAACTCAATATGTGGTTTAACAGACATTCCCATTTCTATTTTTGAATTCCTCAATCCCTTAATTCTAGGTATAAGATTTGATATATATATATATATATATATATATATATATTTTTATCAAATTTCTTTTTTTTTGCTTGTAGTTTTTTAGCCCTGAATCAATGCACATTTAATATGCAGAGAGAGAAAATTAATACTCCCTCCTATTCATAATAAGTGTCGTTTTGGGAAGTTGCACACTAATTAAGAATAATTTTTTTGCCAATGATAACCCTCATTAATGAAGATAGAGGTGGATGTTTTAAAAAAAAGATGAAGAAAATATGAAAAGACGTAATGTATTTATTAACTAAATGAGGGTAATAATGGAAAAATATGTACAAAATATCCAAAATGACATTTATTTTAGTTAATAGTTGATAAAGCCAAAATGACATTTAAAAAGAATAGGAGGTAGTACTAGCTGCGTGAAATGTGTTTCGTAGATATGGAAAAAAGATCACCTCAAAATCTCATTTTGATGAAAGGTTATAAAGAACGTATATATGTAAATCTATACTTATATTAAAGGGGGTACTATTTACCAAATTAAGTAGCCAGAAAAGTCAACAGCATTTATTACATTACTATTTCCGTATTATATTATATAAAAAGATATTCTATTTACTATATTTACTATCCAAAAAAGTCAATTGCATTAAATGTCATTACTATTTTGGTATTATAATATTTTATTTATTTTATTAATTTATTTATTTATTTTATTTAAAAAGGTAAGTATAATAAAAATATTTTAATAATAAAAAAATCAAATACCAAATAAAAATGTACACTTTGACTTATTTGATTATATTTGGTACTAGTGCAACACCCGTGTAATACACGGGTTATTAAAACAATTTATGTTTCACAAAAGGTAGAACTACAATAAGTTACATAAAAATATAAAAAAATAAAGATACAAAATAAATAATAAAATAAAAACAGAAATTGTAATATTATTTCAAATTTTGAAAAACTTCTCGGTATACAACGTTATTAGTGCAATTTACAATATTCCCATTATTGTCGCAACAAAGAATTTTCAAACCTCATCTGCTCTTAAATGATCCTTCCTTAATAATATTCTCCAGCTTCGAAATACGCTATTTTGGAATTATGGCTTGAATCTTATCACCCTAAAGAAATAACACCTTCATTAAGTTTTAATACAAACACAACATTCTTATAGTGAAATAACGTTAATTAACAAAAAAATAAAAAAAAATGAATACCTCCTCGTCTAGAACACATATTTCCATTGCAGTGCGAACATCGGGTTGACTTCTCATAAACTTAAACCATACTCGCTCACACCTAACACGTATTTTCCAAGTTTCTTTTTCTGCGGTGATCTGAGCAATGGAATTGAAAGTAGAAGCCATGTCTTTTCTTTCACAGGTAGAAGTAATGTTTTCACTGTGTTGAATCGCCAATATATATATATATATATTTCACTATGAAGTATTGCCAATGGAACATAAAATAATTGAAAAAATAATTTATGGAAACTATAATATAATTAGATAAAATATTTTCAAGATAACACTTTCTATATAGAAATATTGCATACATGGATAAAATCTTAAACATGATGCTTATTGATAAAGATTGCATACCTACCTTCAATAGTGACTATGTTATACCAAAAAATATTGAGATAAAAAATATTCACCGTGGTTCATTTCACATATTACTCAAATGAAATACAATACTTTTTTCAATAGTGACTATGTTATTCCAAAAAAATTGAGATACAAAAGATAAACAGTGGTTAATTTGGCATATTAATCAAAAGAAATACACAACATTTATTCCAAAAAAATGATTATTCACCACAGTCTACTCTACGTACGACTTTATTGGCAAGATTGCTAAAGTGTTTGTGTGTGTCATCTCTAGTCTCTAGAAGACAATAAACACCATGCTAATAATGAAACGAAATGTAAACAGATCAGTTAAAGAGAATATGACAAAAAATAAAATTTGAACAAATAAAACTTGAACAGACAGTCAAAAAATAATAAAACTGGATGTAAGCAGAGCAGTCAAAAAATAAAACTCTCACAAATTCAGGACTCGACAAATAAAACTTTAAACTAATAACGAAACTTGAACAACTTTAGGACTCGACAAAAAAATAAAACTTGAACTGATAATGAACTGATCACCATCAGGACTCGAAAAATTTCTCAAAGCAGTTCGTGAATGAATAAAGAAAATTATCATTTCTAAACTGTAAGTCACAAGTCGCGTAATTCACGAATGTAGAATTTGTGAGAATTTGTAAGTTGCATCCACTGAACTTGTAAGAATTTGTGAAAATTAAGTGGAGCTTGAAGGAATTATCATCAAATTACACGGGTGCAAAATCAATTGGAATAATAAGATGTTTAAGAAGATGATAATGCCGGCGAAAGTAACGCGAAGAGGAAGAGAAAGCGCCGGCATAGAGAGTGATGAAGTGTAGAGGCGGATTGACAGAAGCGTGACAAAATTCAGGGTTAAATTAGTCACTCAATAGCATTAAGTATAGTTTCGGGAATTAAAGGGTTATATTAGTCAAATTGTTATGAAATTACCTAAGTTAGCTTTTGAATATATATGGAATGTCCGAACCTAAAATTAATTATCTATAATAACAATTTTTTTGTCCAAACCAAAATACGAAGCATGATTCTTCGCCAAGTAGGATTCTGAAGCACCAGAAGCAGCCACGTAGGCTCAGCGCATTGGGGAATTATATATAGGGGGGATTTGATTATACCAAATATATTTCTATTTAGTATATACATTAAATACTTACTAAAGTATTTATTTGTTTTATTTGTCAAAGTTAAGTATAGATTTGTTTATATTATCTGTTGATAAACGGATTTAGCCAACGTAATTAAGGTAAAAAGTATAGTAAAGATTGCGGAAAATATGATTTTTATTGAAGATATTGAAGTCGGTTACAGAATTGGAAGGTCGGTTTTTCCTAGTACACAAAGTCGGTAGCAGAGAAAGCCGAGATAATAAATGTATGAGTTTTTCTGTCTTGGAGCCGAATCCTCGTATTGTCTTTAATGCTGTTATTTATAGTTATGCTTGGCACAACTCCCAAGATAAATTGGCTTTATTTAATGAGGATTTGACGGCTTAGGGGCGGCAATGACGTAGGCAAGCTTTTTAGGTAATGATGAGCATGGGCGCTCCTCTACCTGTGTGACAAGCGTCACTTCTGTCGGGTTGAAGTCGGTGTTATTCGCGACGTCGGCTTTTCGATAGAATTTTAGTCTTCCATGACCTCCGATAAGCTGCTCTCTAACCGAGGTGGCAATCTCGAGGTTTTAGCGTTTTATCTTGACGACCTTTGGGAGTTACTGTTTGTCTTTGGACGTCGTTGAGAACCGAGGTGATATTTCCGAGGTGCCAATCATTTCAAATTTCATTGTCAAAGACCTGGTTCGTGGTTTGGCCTTTATGAAATCTTTAATTTGTCCTTTGTCACATGGTATTTAATTCTGATATCAACATTATCAAATCATAAAAAAATATTAAATCCATATTGTGAAAAAAAAAAAATTCATATAATTTTATAACAATTCTACTAAACTATTTAACAATATTCTTTTTTTATTATATTGTAAAATAATAATTAAATATTATATGGTGAACAACAATAAGTAAAACTGTTACTTTCTCTTATATCAAGGGATAAATTTATATGCTAAAATTAAATTTTTATTAGTATAAATGTTTTAGTGAGATAATATATTAATTATTTTACAAGCTAGCCCTAACATGCTCATATTTAATGTTTTAAAAGATGTAGAAAAAAAACTTATAATAACTCTATTGTTTTTTAGACTTAAACGTTGATTAAAAGAGGTAAAAATTCCTAATTTTTTAGACTTAAACGTTGATTAACACCATAGATTGAGAGTTTATATTTAGTAAAATTCCTAATTGTAATAAAAAAATTAATTTTTGCTATATTTTAGAATATCTTTAAATTCACTATAAAAAAAAAACTATAATGAAAAAAACAAGTCAGCTATATATCGATTTGTTGTACTCCTCAAATCACATTCACAATTTGGCTACAAGGAAAGGAAACTCATTGATTAAAATATTATTTTGTCAGTAGTCTTAATGTACAAGAGACTTTAAGATTCCACTTGAATATTATAAAACTTTTATTGAACATTGTACAATTTCTTGCGTATTATAAACTTTTATTGAATACTGCATCTTATAATATAATATTCTCCAAATAAATATATCTCGTGTTTCGCACGTACTATATATATCCCGTACATTTTTCTTTATTCATGTATATAATTATAAGTCTGAATAAATAGCCTTAAAATTGTGCACCTCGTGCATCGCACGGACTCTGTACTAGTATTTACTATAGGAAATCTACATATGTAAATTTCCTTACATATAATCCCTTTGGGCCTCTTTTCCTTGATAAAACCAAAGGAAGAGCCTGTTAAATATAAGCCCATAAACATTTTCACAGGACTAGTAAAAGCCCATAATATCACGTTTCACTTTCAGCGTTTCATTTGAAATCTAAATCTGAATTACAAGCGCAACGTACAACTCTCACTTGGCGTTACAGCGTTACTCAGACCAGACCAGAAGGAGGGTTTTAACTTTTAACCGAATCAAAACCCTCGGAGAGCGAGAGTGGGAAAAGGAACTCGAAAATGGAAGGCGTTTCGTACCAGAGGTTCCCGAAGATCAAAATCCGGACAGTAAGGGACGACTTCATGAAGTTCGAGCTGCGCGACACTGACGCCAGTATCGCCAACGCACTCCGCCGCGTCATGATCGCCGAAGTCCCCACAATCGCCATCGATCTGGTTGAGATCGAGGTGAACTCCTCGGTCCTCAACGACGAGTTCATTGCCCACCGCCTGGGTCTGATTCCCCTCACCAGCGAGCGCGCAATGGCCATGCGCTTCTCGCGCGACTGTGACGCCTGCGACGGAGACGGCCAGTGCGAGTACTGCTCCGTCGAGTTCCATCTGCGCGCCAAGTGCATCAACGACCAGACGCTCGATGTTACCTCCAAGGACCTTTACAGCTCCGACCACACTGTTGTTCCAGTTGATTTCTCCGACTCGTCCGGGGTTGATAACACGGAGAATAGGTAGTGTTGTTATGCCCGGTTTTGCTGTTTTACTTGGGGAAGAGGAGTTTTCTTCTGTGAATCTTTTTTTCTGGTTGGTCCGTAAGGTAGATAGGGATTTGAGAATAAATTATTCAGGAGCAGCTATATGTTTCTAAAAGATCTGGTAAGGCTGAATGTATATAAATCCAGGAATTAGTTTGGTTCAACTTTTGTTTTAGGGGATTTGAGGAAAAGGTCATACTGAAGGGTAGATAGATAGAGAAGTAAATGAGATTGCTTGTCTTTCTATGCATGTCGTGACTGTTGTCTTGAATTTGCTAATGTTTCTTGCTGGCCCGTGTTTCAATAAATGAAATTGCTCTTCATAGTTCTAGTGCATCAAAGTAGCAAACTTGATCTTGAGCTCTGTGTCTCTAGTTGACTACTTTCCATAGTTCTAGGTGGGGCTTTGATAGATCAGTCTAAGAGAGTGAATGGATAATAGTATGTTTGCACATCTAAGTAACTGTTCTGATACTCAAAAGAGGATTTGATGAGATGATACAAAATATAGAGAATTCTTTAGGGAAGTAAGGCTTCATCATCATGTGTGCAAATTTATAGTTTCATTTTAGTTAGACTCATCACATTATTGCACTAACTATTTATGCTTAATGATAAGTTCTTTCTTATGTCACTATATAATAATATGATTCAGTTTGGCATGATGCAGGGGTATCATCATTGTGAAGCTACGCCGTGGTCAGGAGCTGAACTTACGAGCCATAGCTCGGAAAGGAATTGGCAAAGATCATGCAAAATGGTCGCCTGCTGCGACTGTCACTTTCATGTACGAACCTGAGATTTACATCAATGAAGAACTGATGGAGACGTTAACACTTGAGGAGAAGAAGGAATTTATTGAAAGCAGCCCCACTAAAGTGTTTGAGATTAATCCCAATACCCAACAGGTTCTCTTAAATGTATCACACGCATTATTGAGTCATATCAATGTTTGTAAGAAAATCCCAGGCTTGTGCTACAAAGTGAACAAAAGTTGAAAAATAATGGGCATTATACCCTTTTCAGACGTTGGTTTATCAAATTATTTAATTTATTTTAGCTATCTTGGTTGATTATTTATTATTTTTATTCTTTAAATTTGGGTACTTTGGACCTGGGACATGTGAGACCAATTCTTTTTATGTATGATTTCCCACTTCAATGCTAATCTTGTGTTTTCATTTTTCCTCCTTTTAGGTTTATGTTCATGATGCCGAGGCATATACATATGACGATGAGGTGCTGAAGAAAGCTGATGCCATGGGAAAACCAGGTCTTGTTGAAATCCAAGCCAAGGAAGATAGCTTCATTTTCACAGTCGAGACAACTGGTGCAATCAAGGCATCTCAATTGTTGATCAATGCCATAGAGGTTTTGAAGCAGAAATTGGATGCAGTTCGTTTGTCGGCTGACACTGTTGAAGCTGATGAGCAGTTTGGGGAGTTGGGAGCTCATATGCGTGGCGGCTGATTTTTGTGTTTGGCAAGTTTTCTCATGCATGTGATGTTTTGTACGTTCACTCTTGTTAACTTAGTATGAAAATTGATCTTAAGTTGTGTAAATTATTCTGGGATTGCTGGAGTGTAGGAGGATGACATGTTTTGATGGTTATGAAACAGGTGATGGTTGAACCTGGGCTTTAAGCAGTTGAAATGTTGCATCAATTTTTATTTTTATTTTTTAGTGTTTTTGTCCCACTGAATATGATTGTATGTTGTTGTGGGTGGAATTTAGGTCGTGCTGAGAAATTGTAATGAGTGTGTGATCAAATTACAACATAGGGTAAATTGCAATGTAATCTTATTTTGCAAAGTCAGGACTTTTTCTCTGTGATTATGGTATTTTGTGATGTCCACTGGCAATTCAAAAATAGTTTTGAAACTTCACATCAGTCACGTGAATGAAGAGAAATTGAGTCTTGAATTCAAACAATCCAAGTTACTGAAATCTCCGCTGATGATTGGTCCGTTGGAGAGAGTTTAAGAATCGATATTAACTCGGGATTCCACCAAGTGTACATTTTCAAGTTTAAGAATCGATATAAACTCCGATTCCATTATGTCAATTAGTTTGTACCAATTGCTTCGTTTCTCATCTTTGAAACGAAGCATTTTAGATGAAACAGAATATAAATCATGCATTTCACTGAAGAATAAGGAGACGAGAATACTGTTGTGAGAGATTGTCATGGGTTGTCTCTTTAAGACATTTACACGGTTTATGATGACTTTTTATAAGCTCTTACAATAAAATCTGACCTTGAAGAAAAGTTTACACAGTTGCAACAAACACAAGAAAAATCATGGCATCTTGAGTTCACATTCAGAGTTTATATACTCACACACAAGTTCATTACAAGAGCTATAGGTCACAATAGGAAATGAATCATATTTTCCTAGTCATCTCCAGTCTCAAACAAATTACTACATTCTAATCCTCAATAAGAT